GAACACCAAAACCTCATATCAGCTGAAGCATGGTGGAGGGAGTTTTGTGATTTTGGGCTACTTTGCTGCCGCATAATAAAATAATAATAATCTTTGTTTATAGAACACTTTTTATACTGGTGGCAGCTCAAAGTGCTTTACAGACAGGAGATAATGCTGTAATAGACAATGACAGATCAAGTTAAAAAGAGAAAAAGGCACTGTGGCCTAGGTAACATGCAATCAGTGAATTCCAATGAATTCCAAGTTGTTTCAGGAAATGAAAGCAGAAAGTCTGTATGTCTGTAATCTGAAGCTCAAGGATTGGTTGTATCATTTGATGTGACTCATCCAGACACATGATGTGGGACGAGAAGGCCAGACTTTAAATCGATGTTCCAATTAATCCTGAAGGTGTTCAGTGGAGTTGAGGTCAGGCTCTGTGTAGGCCACTGAGGTTCCTCCTCACCAAACTCATCAAACCATGTGTTTATGTAGCTCAGTTTGTGCACAGGGGCACAGTCATGGTGCAACAGGAAGAAGTCTTCCACAAACTGTTGCCACAAAATTGGAAGCATGTAATTGTCTAAAATGTCTTTGTATGCTGTAGCATTAACATTACCCTTCACTGGAATTAAGGGGCCCAAACCCTGAAAAACAGAACCAGCCTATTATCCCTACTCCACCAAACTTTACTGTTGGCACTGTGCATTCCTGTAGGTAGCTTTCTCCTGGCATCGCCAAACCAAGATTTATTTATTAAACTATCAGATAGTGAAGCGTGAGTCATCACTCCCGAGAACGTGTTTCCACTGATCCAGAGTCCGGTGGTAATATGCTTTACACCACACCAGCTGATGCCTGGTATTGTGGATAGTGATCTAAGGCTTGTATGCAGCTACTTGGCCATTTAAACCCATTTTATGAAGCTCTTGTTGTACCTTTCTTGTACTGATCTTGTGCAGAGGCAGTTTGGAAGTATAGTGAGTGATGCAACAGAGAATAGGTCATTTATACAAGCTAATGCACTTAGTGACTTTGATGTTCTGAGACACAAAAAGGCTTAAGAGAGCTGAGCTTTGGGTCCAGGCCATTAAAAGGATGTTAAAGTATAATTTTTTGTAGGTTTTCTCTGAGTCACTAAGTTTTGCCAACTCATATAGGTACTCCATATACTTGTAAGTTGTTACGGATACATTAGGCCACACCAAAGAGGACTGGCGATCTGTATATATCTCCCATCTTTTATCCAGGTACACCAGTTATACACCGATGATTCTTGTGATTCCATATATATTCATAGGTACAATATCAAAACATTTTTATTATGTTTTGAACCATTTGAAAACACCAGCTGCTCTTTACAATGTGTGAACATTTTCTGAGGAATGGACCAACAGAAATTATCCAAAATTTGATCCACATATATAACTGTAAGTGTTACATGTTATAAGTGTTACATTAACATACATAGATATTGTATTATTAATTCTTGTTAATAATACATGAATAATAATGATAGTGCTACATTTACATACATTAATGTAAGTGTTTATTTATATTGGAATATTAGTACTACATCAACATACATTAACATTCTTAACTTGTTGTTAATGTATGTGAGAACAAGTTTATTTATGTGTATGTAACAACAAGTTAAGAACGTTTTTTTTTTCCTTCTCTTATCAAGTCTCCCTTTCAGAGATACGTGTGTTTTGTCATGACAGCAACAGTATTTGTGAGCCCTCTGGAACTATCTTGATTTCTGGCTGAATGACTTTGTGATCACTTTGCATGAATGTCACTGGAGCATAGTTAGACCTAAAGCATAATGCAGACAGTTCTATTTATAAACCAACACATTGTTTTAAAATGGCATTTTTTATCCTTCTTTATCAATCTTTGAGGGTAATAAAGGAAAATTTACTAAAAAATCAACTGGACATTGCACAGCATTCCAGAAACGATTTTCTGTGGTGAAAAAAAATTGAATGTGTACAAGGTTAGGTTTGGGGAAAACAAAACACCAGCACCAAAACTTAATCCTTACTGAACTAAAACATGGTGGAGGGAGTTTAATGCTTTAATGGAGCTGCTTTGCTGCCTCACAGCCTTGCAGTCATTGAGGGAGCAATGGATTCCAAACTGTATAAGGAAATTAAATTAGAAAGTAAGGCTATCTGCCTGTGGTCTAAAACTCAAAAGAGGTCAGGTCACACAATGGGACTCACCCAAAATACAGGAGCAGCATGAACAGAAGAAATGCTTTAGAATTCCAAAAGTATACATGAATGGAAGCAGCTTCACAGAGTAATGGGCCTAAATACCAACTATTGCACAGGACTGATCAGTAGCTACAGAATCTGTCAGGCTAGTGATGATAAAGAAGTTTCCACTTGACACCATCTTCTCACAGCTGTATGCGTTAACTGATACGTGTTGTGCAGGAATGTTGTACCATGCAGAAATGCCTGCTTTGCACAGTTAATGCAATTTAAATGGCTGCACTCCGGCTGAGAACAGCCCTTTTCACCTTTTCACCCAAAGATACTTGATAAGGTTGAGTTCAGTCTCGATATGTGATGATAAACTTGGACAGCAAAGATGTTCAGATATTTAGGAGCCCTAAAATGTGTTTGAAAAACATTCCACACAACATCACACTGAGATGTACTGTTGACACTAAGCACGATCACTCTTACGATTAGTCTTATGATGCATGTGCCAAATTCTGACCCTTCTGATCCTGTTCAGCAGGAAGCAAAAGGAAGCTGGAAGAAGGTCCTGTTTTAATGCTTCTGTGTCTACTGGAGCTTTAAGAGCTACAGGCTGACAGCTATTTCCATGTGTTTCCCAATTCAAAGCTCAGTTGAACTCTGATGCAAGAATCCTTGGTCTGCATCATTTATATAATACATGATAGCCACTTGATGCATGATTATTCGAATGTAGTTTATATGAATTTGTATGCACCCAACCACCTGAAAAAAAATGGAAAAAAATGGAAAAAGCAAGGACTAGGAACAGGAGAACAGGTACTAGGAGAACTGAGGTAAACTCAGGCACACAGAATGTAGGGGTTATGACTGGGAGAATAGGGACCAGGACTAGGGATACCTTGGAAAGCAAAGAAGTACAAACAACTGAGAACTGCAGGAAAACAGGCAAGACTTTGCAAAGTACAGGCACTAAATCTTAGAAGGAGGGCTAACATGTCCTTGCACACATGAAGCCAGGCACTGCATCTTTTTAAGATGCCCTTGATGCTACACTATATGTTTAAATGTATGTGGACACCCCTCACAATTATTAAGTTCAGGTTTTACAGCCACATCCATTGCTAACAGGTGTGTAAAATCAAGTACATAACCATACAATTTCCATAAACACACAATGGGTTTGGCAGTAGAATGGGTTGTACTAAAGAGCTCAGTCACTTTAAACGTAGCATTTTCATTGGATGCCACAAGTCATTTCACGAAATTGCTGTCCTGCTGTATCTGCCCTGGTCAACTGTAAGTGCTATTATTGTGAAACCACAAAGCTCATGCAAACTCACAGAGCAGGGCTGCTGAGTGCTCACGCACATAGCGCCTAAAAATCACCTATCCTCTACTACATTATTCACTACAGAGTTCCAAACTGCCTCTGGAAGCAACATCAGCATATTAACTGTGCCTCAGGGGCTTCTTGCAATGAGTTATTTAGCCAAGCAGCAGCATACAAGCCTTAGATCACTATGGGCAATGCTAAGCGTCAGCTGGAGTGGTATAAAACACATCACCACTGGATTCGGGAGTAGTGGAAATGTGTTCTCTGGACTGATGAATCACACCTCTCTATCTGGCAGTCTGATGGATGAATCTGGGCTTGGTGGATGCAAGTAGAACGCTATCTACAGGAATGTACAGTGCCAACAGTAAAGTTTGGTGGAGGAGGTATAATGGTCTGGGGCTGTTTTTCAGGGTTTGGGCTTAGTTCTAGTGAAGGGTACTGTCAGGCAAAGACATTGTAGACAATTATTTGATTCCAACTTTGTGTCAACAGTTTAGGGGAGGCCCTTTCCTGTTCCAGCATGACTGTGCCACTGAGCTTGAGTTTGGTGTGGAGGAACTCCAGTGACCTGCACAGAGCCCTGACCTCAACCCCACAGGGTATCTTTTGGCATAGATTGGAACATTGATTTTGAGTTAAGTCTTCTTGTCTAATGTCGGTGTCTGACATCACAAATGCCTTTTTTTGACTGAATGGGCACAAATTCTCACAGACACACTTCAAAATCTTGTGGAAAACCTTCCAGAAGAGGGGAGGCTTTTTTAACATCCAAGGAGGGCCCAACTCCCCATAAATGCTAATGGATTTGGAATGGGATGTCCAACAAGCACATATAGGTGTGATGTAGTGAGTGATGCAACAGAGCGTAAGTGATTTATACATGCTCTGCACTTCAGCACTCGGTCATCCACTTTGTGCGTTTGTGTGGTCTAACACCTCATAGCTAAGCTGCTCCTACACGCTTCCACAATAATAGCACTTATAGCTGACCAGGGCGGATCTAGCAGGGAAAAAATTTAACAAACTGACTTTTGGCCGTAGTTTCTATCTTTAGACCCCTACACGTAATTGAAGGATAGTGTCCAATTCTATATGGATAACCTAACAATTTGATAGCAAAACCTAAAGGGAGAGTGGAAAAGTCCATTTTTCCTATCCAGAGAGAGTAGGGCCAGTTATGCTGTTTTGGACTTCCCCCATGGATGGTTGAAGCATCGCCAGGATTAGTGACCTCTTCATGACAGGGCAAAACTAGAGAGTTGCTCCATTCCGGAGCCTCCCGAAACTGCAATATATAGATTCATCATTTATGTTAACACATGCATGTAACTGCAACATGCAGTACACCCCAGTTTTCAGTGTCAGTACCAATACCATTTTACTCTGTCTAACATATGCTCCGAAAGTAAGCCCCTCTACAATGATTCTGTATCATTAACTAAAGCAGTATACACAGGAAACAGGGGATGTACATAATCAGGTCTTTATTCAGGATTTTCTTGACTGATGTACAGATATAGCTTATACATAAAAGAAAAATCCAGAAAGTAAAAAAGTCTGACATTTAATTCTCTGTCTATGAGACATACTTCACAACTCCACCAACAGTGTATTTAAGATGTTATAGGTTATATGTATGATTAATTAAAATAGATGTTGATATGTTGTACAATAAATACACAGTAAAAATTCCCTTCACCTTACATGAAAGAGTAATTTCAAATATATTATCCTTAAGATATACTAATAAAGGCAAACAAAACTCATCACGTAGCTAAGGCATTACAACTGTTTTGAGAATTATCTTTTGAGCATTAGTCATATACAATAGATGAGAACAGGTATCACTCTGCCTAACCTGCAGAGGACTTTGGTTCTGGTGTGTGATGTGTTCTAATGTCCTCATATTTAACAGAACCTAATTTCCATTAACTCACTGAACTTAAAAATATAATACAAAAACAGGAAAATAAGAGTTGGGTTGAAACAGAGAGCTAACAAATGGACATCTCCTACTGTACCCATACTTCACATGCAAGCTAATCAGCAACCACTCATCTGATGACATGCTATTTCTGGCTCAGGTGGCATCCAGGACTGCTTGGGAATTCAATCTCGAGCAGATAAAGGAAAGCAGGAAATTGCCAGAGAGCACAAGTCTGATGACAAGCACGAAATGTCTGGGCAAAGGTTGTGTGATCATGCCTACAACTCAGACCTTTTATGGTTGATCTTCCCTTTCCTTCTCTCATCTTGAATTAAATCAAAACAAAACCCAAATATCTAAATACATGCTGAGTAAAATACATATAAACTACTACATATCAAAGTTATAATACAAAACAAACTTTCACTGACCAGAGCCCATCGCAAATGTATTTCACCATCAAACGAATCAAGAAATTGTGACTTCTCTTATTGTTTGACAGTTCTTCTTGACTTCCTACGTTTCACTCTAGCGCTGGGCTCAACCTTCCTTTTTCTCTCAACTACATAGTAGTGAACAAATGTAATTGTTTCATAGAAACAACTGACATCTGCCTTTTACCGGCAAATGAAACTGTACAGAGATCGGACTGCCTGACTGACAGTGTTTCTGACGAACGATCGGTGGTTCGGGTCCTACTCCAGCAGACAAGAGCGAGCTTGAGCGGCACGGCCTTTTAGGATCCGACGCACCTAAAAGAGGGAAAAAAGAAAAGGTGGAAGATGATCAGACCTCAGTAGAAACTGAGCCACACAGCTTATCTCAGGATAGGCTTTAATTTGGATATACTGTGTTTTCTGTAGCATTTGTGTGATTTCTTGACCTTAGCTTTCCAAGTGCAAAAAGCTTTAAGCTAAGAGTCCATTAACTGTTAAGGCTGCAACCAACAGTCGACAAAGTGTTGATATGATGTGACATTTACTTGCTGTAGAATACATGTGATCATTCCGACAGAATGCAGTACAGCACAGCAAATGTAGGGGGTGATACGGTTTCTGTGCTGCTGAGATTCACACATATTTCCGTATGGATTCACAGCTTGTGTGAAGCCTCACCTGATCCCCCACAGGTCCTTCGGGCACCAGCTGAATGGGCTGCTCGTTCTCCAGGTTCTTGGCACTGGGGTCAGCACCTCTCCTCATCAGCAGCTGCACTGCGTGCACCTGCGCCTGCCGACCCTGCTGAGCTGCGGCCACATGGAGTGCTGTGTTCCCGTTATACGCCTGAGAAGGACAAAGAAAGTTTGCTATCGCTATCGCAGCAAAAAGGCACCGAATGGCTAAACAAACATTTTTCTATCTGAACACAATAAAGCTGCCTCACCTTGGCATTAATGACAGCAAAAGAGTTTGGCTGATCCAGGAAAAGTCGCATAAGCTCGACGTTGGCTTCCTCGGCAGCCATGTGCAGGGCAGTGCGTCCGCTTTTGCGATCCTGATGGAAACATGAACAATGTTGAGTGCATGGGAATTTATATTTTTGGCATGATATTTTTTAATTAGCATAGCACTGGAATAGCAGCTCTTACCGCTGTGCCATAGGAGGCACCCATTTGCAAGAGAGTGTTGATACATTCTCCAAGCAGCTTCCTCCTCTGCATCAAAGCTGTAGTTTGGGGAGACTGGGGTGCCCCTATGCGGCTCAGCTCCTGGACCACTGCATTGTGGGAGAGGACAGCAATGTGAAGGGCGGTGAGACCTAAAACAGAGAGAAAAAAATGAACAAAGCTGTGCAGTGTGTCTAGCATTAAATGAAGTATAACAGAATATTACACAAATCTACCTCATGACAGTACATAGGACAATCAGAACAAAATGTAGGTCAGAATCTACAGATGCTGCTTGCTTGCAAATGAATCATACTTTTCACACTGCGTCAGAAGTTGCAACATTTATTTTTAAAATATATCACCACGAGACAGACAATGGACTAACTTGCTGCAACACATCTGTATATTGATGTTTGACGTGTTTTACGTAGGCTTGACTTAATTACTTACCATCATAGTCGACTGCCTCAACGTTCACCTTCTGGCCGCTGTTCACCGCACACTTTTGGATGGCCTGTGTGGAGACACAATCATGAAGAAGGTTATGAACATGTTTTGTTCCTTACAGAAACTTTCTGAACCTCTTACAACTGAATAATCTCAACTGTGTATGACTTATGACCGTGTGTGATTAGGAGACTTCACTGAAAAAGGTGCTACATTGAATTCACATTTCCACATGAATATATTGCATCAGCACTAGTGATACTGATACTCCATCCGATACTGATACTGAAACCATGAGTATCGGCTGACGCTAAGCCAATATTTTTTGTTTGAAAACCACTAAACTTTAGAATGAGCTGTTTTTTGATGGAAGCACCTCACTTCATATAAGCATCCAAAAGAAGACTGTGATGCTGAAGCTACTCGATCACTCTACTAAACCCACAGGAAGAAATCCACAGCTAATAACATCACATCACACAGTGTGAGTGTATGCTGTTTCAGGATAGATTTGTTACAAGACTGGATCAGATTCATTTTTTATCTCCAACATCCTTTTCAGCATTTTCTGCTGATATGATACCCATCAGTACTGATATGTCGTGTCATCAGCACAATCGTTACTAAAACTATTACTAGGTCAACCTTTAAACTTTTGTTGATGTAATATATTTTCACTATCAGACTCCATTCCAAGTTCATCTTTGTTGTCAATTATTTGTTGTCAAGGTCAATTATGAAAAAAAGTCAATACGCTGGTGTAATGTTGATGTAATTTTGCTGTCGGGAATCCATTTTTGTTTTTTGTTTTTTAAACAACTTTTATGGCTTAATTTAAAAAGCTGCCCTTCACATTGTGTGAAACGCTGATCATGATTGGACCAATAGAAATGGTCCAAAATAACTTCTTGTTACTTGTTACTCCTATTAAAAGTTAAATCTGTGCAAACAAATGTTTTATAAATGAAGCTTTCCTGTGAAGTTACTGGTTTGGAGAGGCTTTATTCTAACAGCGACTATATTTTATTCATGTGGAAATAAAATACACGTGAAACAAATGAATTCAATGCATTACTTTTCATCAGTCAAGCTGGAAATAAATAAAGGCCGTTAGACTTGCTGTGATTCCACACTGGGAATTTTTCTGTGTTCTCTTTTCAGTAATTTAGGCAAACAAACAAAGGGTTAATGATTAGGGCAGAGTTTGCGTGCCAAGTTCAGTGCACGGTTAATGGTTGATATCTGTAGAGATGTTTGTCTCTGAGCTTTGAAAGGGAGTTGGGCTGTGGAACCAGTTTTGCAGGATGAGGGGATTTTCTGACTGCTGCTTTAAGGAAATGAACTTAAGTTAGTAGTTAGGAGGAAGCTGTTTCGAGATGCTAAAAAAAACAACGAAATACTGATAACGTGAAAGGCAGAGAGAGAGAGAGAGAGTGAGAGAGAGAGCATAATATGTCAGAGAAAAACAAGTTTATACAGTAATGTTTGATTTATATCTCAAACTTTATAATTAGTTTGGTGCATTTCTAAGTCTTTCAAATGCGCTTTGCTCAGCCCGGTTCAATGTTAGATAAGAACACAGACAGTTGAGATTATGGGATGTTTTGTGGTTAAGATTTATAACCAGTTTACAACTGAAGATAAAGAATCATTAACAGTTCTTGTTAACAATTGTACTGCAGTCATACTGTTAATCATTCTTTTATTCAGAAGTACAGATTTGCATGCCGTGTGGTAGCTCAGGGGCACTGTGAGGAACACAAAGAGCCTTGAGTTCAAATACTGGCCGCTAAGTTAAACTCCATATTTCAATACTATATTCTAAAAATACTCTGTCTAATATAGATTTATATGTAGATAATACAGTGGGGTCCCAAAAATCTAAGGCCACTAGTTAGTACAGTTCTATTTTGCATTCTTGTCAAATTTATTTAAATGATATATTATCAGCATAACAGTTTTACTGAAAAGTAGAATCTTTTAAATATTTATACAACTTTTCAGACCGTCCCTTTTTTTGTTTTAATGATGATGATTAAATCCACCCGAGAGCTGTGGTTTAATGAAATCATTAATATTCAAGAAAATGTACTTTATGTACTGTGATCTAAACAGTCACACAGAAATAGTGCAGAATCTTAACTACTTCTTAATTTTATTTGTCATAAATGTTTTTGTTTTAAGTTTAACATTTTCAAACTTTTTAGGTTTAAATGAAAAAAATAACAGATTTTCAATGTAGTATCCGACTTCTGGACCTCACTTTACAGGCATTATGTTATTTTAAGTGCTGTATCTTTTAAACATTTTTATACTACTTAAACACTATATTATGTAATAAAATATAGTATAACCCATACTTCATAACGTGTGTTGAAAATATTATGTTTCTTAGATATATATATTTTGAAGCATTGTGATTTTTTTAACTAGGGATGGCGTAACAAGTTTTCTTTTCTGATACCGATACCGATACTGAAGCCTTGAGCACTGGCTGATACCAATCAGATACTTCTCTAAAAGCTGCTAACTGAGCTATTTTTAACTGAAGCACTTCAAACATCTCAAAGTCTGAAAGGCTGTCTTTCTTAAACCTCTCAAACACTCTTTCACAGAAAGAAATACAAAGTGGACAACATCATATAATGTGAGTGTGTGCTATTTCAGGATCGATTTGTTACAGAATTGAATCAGACTCGTTATTATTCCTTAAGATATATGTCCCATTGAAACAGATATACCATTTCTGTTTTTAAACTATACTTGTATTGTACTCTATATAATATTAAAATAAATTATTATGTTATCTGAACTTATTACTCTACTCAAACTGCCCTTCTGCTTCCATGTTGTTCCGTGAGCTGGCGGCAGTCTGAGAATTTGTTCTGTATTGTTTGGTTAACCTTAACGTATACTGCACGTGTTTGACTAGGTGGGTTGTTTGAAGTTGTGCAGTGCTGTTTATTTGATAATACATGTGAAGTGTGGCAATGTGTATGAGTAAGTCTAAGAAAGAGAGAAAGTTAGTGAAAGAGAAAGAGGGAGATAGTTAGAGGCAAAATTTAACATCTGTCCCATGTCTGAGCGATTAGCAAAGTGAGTTGCGTTTGTACACGCCATGTTCAACATTAAACAGAGTGTGAATGAGAGCAAGTTAATAAAAAGGAACCGGATTTAATGATGACTCATGGCTTGATGATTCAGAGGAAAGGAGAAAGAAGAAAATAGGGGAAGGGCAGGGAGAAGAGAGTAAGTGTGAGTGCTGAAGAAGTCATTTCATTTTAAATAAAGAGTGAACATATAAAAATGAAACATACTGGAACATGTTATCAATACATAACAAAATACAGATGAGATATATTGTAATGTATTTTCAAATACATTCCATTTTTATATGGGTGGGTGGAGGGGGTCTTACCTGTAAGGTCAGGGTGTGGCCTTTCTCAGCACACACGTGTAGTGGGGATCGGCCCCAACAGTCAACAGTGTTCAATTGGGCTCCTAGAGACAGGAGGTCTTGAGCAATCAGGTGCTGGTTGGCTGCCACACTCACTTGGAACGCGCTCTGGGTTGAAAAAGAAAGAGAAATATGTCAATATTCATCACTTACTATCAAGCCTTTTCCTGCTTTGCCTGCTTGAACTGGCTGATCAGCTTTCTTGCCTCCTAACTGGCGATACCTAGATGCTTGGGCTCAAATAAACAAACATTACTCACTGCTGCCCTCTAAAGGTGTTATAGTCAACAGTCAGAACTTTTGTTGCTTTCAAAAAAATTTGCCTTATGTTATTTACAATTATTTGCCTTAAGTCAACTAATGAAAATGTATCCAACTGTTTTCTGTTTGTTCTGACAAAAACATGAAACTGTGAAACCTAACAACTGTGGAAAATAATTGCAAATAGGTGAATAATAATTATAATAGGCCTATGTGCTACCATGTCAAAGCATTTTATTGATAATAACAAAAAAAACCATATATTTTGTTACATGTTGTCTGCTGTTAGTGACCCAGCACCTACAGTTAGCATAAACTGACCCACACTGTGCCATGACAGTGTAAAACAGTCAAGGCATTTAGTATAAAAACAAAGTAATGAAATATACGTTGTTATATTTTGTGGTTAAGGTAAGGCAGAGAGGTGCAAATAAGGTCACATTTAAAGCTTAACAAACCCAGTCACAGCAGGAGGGGAAGATTAGGATATCTTTTACATTTACTGCCATTACCTGACATTAGATAGGCTTATCACACTTCATTTGAAGTGAGAGTGAAGTACTTGAGAATAACTTCACTAAGTACCTGATTGTTATGTTCCTTCAGATCAAGCATGCCAATGTCAGCCATTTTCTTTGCAAGGACATAGGCCAGAGCTCTCCTCCCCTGGGCCACTGCAATGTGAAGGAACCTGGAATCATAGTGACTACAAATGAGTAAATGTCACCCTTCAATTTCCATAAGATTATCTCTGCATGAATGCCAAATTTCTCATTTAATAGTGAGGTTAAGGTGAGTGCATCTCAAGAATGTTTTACTTATCTACATCTTTACGTCTCAGACAAAGCTAGGAAATTTAACAACTCACGTGTCTCCATCTCCATCCCTGGAGGTGAGGTCCAGAGGGGTTAAGCCAGCCAGCTTCTCCTCCTCTTGCTGGATCTGCCACTGGAAGAAAGAAACCGGAGGAGCCGGAGGAGTCGATCCACCGGACCCAAACCCATGCTGTGGACTCGGGATTTGGAACGGGGACATGTATGGGCTCTCTGTAACCTGGGACAGCTGGCAGCTGCTGTAAAAGGGGCTGGGTTCTGGAGTGTAGGGGGTGGGCATGGGCTCCTGTAGCTCTGGAGGTGGAGGTGTACTGCCCTGCACTTTCACAGACTCAATAGACAGCCCTCCATTGATGAAGAGGTCACCAAGTCCATTACAGATGTTTTGGTCTTTCAGGACATTCTCACTGGCAAGTTGGCAAGGAGACTAGAAAAGACAAGACAAAAGATCTGGTCTATGTTTTTGTACAAAAAGGTAAATTTCTTGCTGGAAATCAAGCACTGGTAGTAGAATGTTTTCTATAACACATGGAATATATTTGTCAACTACAATGGTGGCTAGTTAAAATTATTATTTTCCATGTGAAAAAATAAAAATGTCTCCTATTATCTCACATAGGATAATTACCAGAATATTGTTTTGCGCTGTAGCAGGCCTTTTAACGACAGGATGAGGCAAGACACTCTCTGCTGGCCTTTTTCCACACTTGAGCAAGGAAGTAATGGCTAAAAAAAAAAGCAAATCATCTCATTAGTCCTCATGCACCTATTAAACATCATGATTACCATCTTTGTAGGTTCTTCAAAGCAATAGTGTGGTTTGCATTGCAAATTACCTGGGAATTCAATTTCGTTTTTATGCTGCTGTTCCTGTAAAGAAATGAAGCGAATTTATGAACATGCCATAAGAGTATTTTTTATAGTAGGAATTTGGGAAGATAAACCTAACTGTCAAACAAGATAAGACATCTGGAATTTCTTGTGATAACCAGCATGCAAATGTTGAAGTGTTGGAAGATGTGTCTAATAGTCAGTTGGGAGTTTCAGATAAAGCTTCTACACATCAGACAGTGATGAGAAACAGCTCATTATTTAAATCAGACACTGTGAGGAAGCGCCTACCTGTACTTCGCTGTTCCGTTTCTGCATAATGAGCTCCTTGACTGTGTTCTTCACTCGTACACCCTGGTACCGACGCAGCAGTCCTGAACTGTCCTGGTGAGCCTCCACTACAGAGGAAAATACGCGTCATCTTAAGTAGCCGAAACATCATATATACACACTACACTACAATCTATGTAGAAATAAATGTAAAAAAGTCACATCTAGTAATAATATGATCATATTTACAACAATACTTGCATTAGTATATCAATAACAACAAAAAATCACATAATGAATAATAATTATAACCCAATATTTACATTGTTTTTGTTTTTATTTCTTGTCAGAACCAGTGATAAATGTGTCTATCATAATAAACAAATATTCAGTACAAAATAATATTCAAGCTTTAATAGTTAACGTTAGTTTTCAATAGGAATGAACTGTTGACAGCTGAGGTATTGCTTTAACGCACTGAAAAATGTTATTTTGCCATTTCTTCCTAACTTTTCCTCTTTAGTCAAGTCTATTTTAGTGTTTTTTTGTTTTGTTTTGTTATTTTTTTAATGCCAGCTTTGCTGACTTAACGTTACTGTTCCGAGTTTAACTGATTGCTCCAGACAGGAGCCAGATTACCAACTTTTTAACAGATTTTTACAGTATAGGTCAAGTTTTTAAACTCACATCACTGCTCAAACGATATATTTCATTATAAATATTACTTTTAAGGTATTTATTGGACGTTTTAAGGTATATTTTAAGGTCATCTAAGACCGAGTACGGTACCGTTGGCGCCGGATAGTCCGCTGTCTGTGAGCGGCGGGCTCGCCGCGCTGCTCCAGCTCCTCTCAGACTCCCCCGGAGACCACGGAGACTGCTGACCGTTACAGTTGCTCGGCTCGGAGGGGGAGGAGCAGCCATAAAATGACCAGAGGTGGACTGGACTGGTCATAACATCTGCGTCCGTGTCGACAAAGCCCGAATAGCCCTCGGAAACTCGGTCAATAATCATCTTGCTCGCTTTGACACACTCCCTCGTCAAACCGACTGACACACCTTCGCGAACTGTGGAGGGAAAAAGTCCCCGAGCCTATTTAAGGCGGCTATCCCGGCCTACTAACGGCAGGTAACGAAGTCAGAGACACCAATGGTAGAGGAGAAATGAATGACTGACAGCCTTGTTGACCAATAGGAATTCACTTTCACCCCGCCCAGTCCTTTAGACACGCCCATCGCGTGTTCTCGTTGGCTGTGTCCGAAACTGAAGGCGCTGTCTCGATGCCTTGCTGCCTTCGCTGTCTCATAAGTCAGTGCCTAAGAATGCAGTGTTTTCTGCTATTCTTTCTAACCGTATCGGCGCGGACACAGAGGATTTTGGGATATGGCACCGAAGGATACAGCTACACTGCCTTCAAAAACACGGCCGAACGGAGGAACCTCAGCAGGCAGCGTTTATACAAGCATTACTACTTATGAATACTGTGTTTAATTCTCTCCGGTGTAGTGCTGGTTCAGTTCGATTCAGTTAAGCGAACCGATTTGTTCGAATAGTCCGCTTCAAGACGTGATTTTAGTAGGTTAAATTGTGATTTGTAATTATTTTGTGCTATAAGAACCCATATAACTCACCAATGAGTGAGTGCCTTCCTGCCTCAGAATACTGTATGCGTTCTCCCCGGTGTAGTGCTGGTTCAGTTCGATTCAGTTAAGTGAACCGGTTCGTTCGAATAGTCCGTTTCAGGTTGTGACTCTAAGAGGTCAAATTGTGATTTATGATTATTTTGTGTTGTAAAAACCCACATAACCCGCAAGCAAACACAGCGCAGGTGCTACACAAAAGTTTAATTCACACGTGAATCTGTTGAGATTATTTATTGAAAGAACCGATTCAAAAGAACGATTCACTCACGAGTCGGACAGACTTCAGAGTGCTGTATTCGTTTTGAAGGGATTTACTCCAAATGTTTGTCACGACGATGTGATATTTGCTCATTTATTCACATTTAGATAAATAATTCACGAATTTCGAAGCCCAGTCTAGAGTTTTAGTGTTGCGGTTTAGTCTCAAGTTAGTTTCGACATTTTTCTGTTGCAATAGAGTGCAATTCACAACGTGGCAAGCTGGTTTATGGCTAGACAAGATCTAAACTAGTTTGAATCTAGGCAAATTCCTGTGGACAACAACAGCAGCAACCATTTCAAACTGAATGCTGTCAGTTAAAAGCATTTCTCACCAGTGAGCACGTATGCTTTGCATCTCTAACCGTAAATTGACTGGATCTTTTTTAAAAGAAAGAAATATCTGGATCAGGCCTACCTGAAGACTCATGCTTCGTCTCTGTACAGCGTTATTTCCACATCCAGCATGGGTAAAACCTTGTTAATATGTTCAAACGCGTTTAAACCGAACTCAGAGAATGTCTAAGACGAAATGAAACCCCTTTAATTTAATGAGTCACTTTTTGGACATGCTCTGGTTGTTCAGGAACTTTCAGTAAGGGAATTCCCAAAGCTACAGCCCAACAAGGAGAACTCAGTATTTAAATGTTTTGACAGATCACTTCACTCATGAAACTTTGGGAGTATTTGTATGCTGTAGGGAAAGATATTATTTTTCATTTTCTTTATGTTTGTGGTCTGCCCTTAATGACAGGATGGACACTCCACTGTATTGCAAGGCCATACACACCAAACAGCCATAACATTAAAACCACCTCCTTGTTTCCACACTCATTGTCCATTTTATCAGCTCCACTTACCATATAGGAGCACTTTGTAGCTCTACAATTACAGACTGTACTCCATCTGTTTCCCTATACTTTGTAAGCCCCCTTTCACCTTGTTCTTCAGAGGTCAGGACCCCCATGGACCCTCACAGAGCAGGTACTATTTGGGTGGTGGATCATTCTCAGCAGTGCAGTAACACTGACGTGGTGGTGGTGTGTTAGTGTGTGTTGTGCTGGTACGAGTGGATCAGACACAGCAGTGCTGCTGGAGTTTTTAAACACCTCAGTGTCACTGCTGGACTGAAAGCGTCCTGTGACCACTGATGAAGGACTAGAGGATGACCAGCACAAACTGTGCTGCAACAGATGAGCTACAGTCTCTGACTTTACATCTACAAGGTGGACTGACAAGGTAGGAGTGTCTAAAAGAGTGGACAGTGAGTGGACGCAGTGTTTAAAACCTCCTGCTGCACTGCTGTGTCTGATCCACTAGTACCAGCACAACACACACTAACACGCCACCACGTCAGTGAAAGTAGAAACAAGTATCAGCACTTTCTCATCAACACTTTAGCGCCATCTGGCGGTGTTGGTAATTAGGCTATTTACCTCGAGTAAGAACTGTTCACAGTAGTGATAATGGGAACCACAAGTCTGCTCTCTTACAGAAAGTTATTACACGAAATGGTTACAAATATGTCACCAAATGCCTGAGATACTGTTTTGCCATAGTTTTGAGAGAAGTTGTTTATGAGTCCATTTATGGCAGAGGTATATGCAGGATGTTGTAAGGCAAAATAGTCCCTATAGAAATCTTTTCCTGCCAAATTTGCCATTATTTTTGAACCATTAACATCATTATATATACACATGTGTAGATTCATTGATCAATTTGGCTCACCAAAGAAATGGCTAGTTATGCTCAAAGACATAACAACCCCTGGTTCCTATCACCACCATTAAAAGACACCCATCTCTGTAAGTTTCTCTACAATCATCCATTCCACATCAAACCACTCCAGACGACTTTGTTTACACCTTAACGACTGAAAAGCACTGCTGAATTTCCCTTTAAATTAAAGTTCAAATGGGTTACTAGCTTAAAGTTAACAAATAACTGCTCAACGTGACATTTTATTTTCAAAAGTGCATTCAAAAACATAGAAAATCAGTGTGAAATAAATAAAAAAACGATTTCAAATGCAACACAGAATGCTGTTAGCTGACACACTGTAGTGAACAACTGAATTTACACAAAACCAATATGTACAATGTAATCGTTGTATCAGTATGTCCAGTCTACGAAGATGCTGAAAAATATCAAAGGTAAACCCTACATCCTTTTAACGTATAGTCATAGAACTGTAACATTCACAAGTTACAGGAAAGGAAAAGTTTATTAAGTGCAGTAAATAAGCTACAAGTTGGCACTCTTTGTATGCAAGGGTGTTACGTATCTCAATGACTGAGTTTTGAAGCCGTTATGTACATTCTAATGTGTTCATCTGCTAAATGCATGAATCTGCACACTTGTATGTTTGGGAGCAGAAAGTACTTCTGCATTCACTAGATGGGACGGGCTAAGCTGACATTTAAAAAACTGATCTCAGATGACTCAGACTTTTCTCAGACTGAAGGTCAAGGCTACCCTTGGTTTATTTCTTGGCTTCAATGGTGACGAGAAGGCTGGGTATATTTTCAAACAACATGAAAATATTTAAACATGGTTGTCAGAGCTAACCTCAGGGGCTGCTATCAATAAGCACCTTCAAAGTAGGAGTGTTGAGCTAGCATTTGTTGTGGCAACTAGGACTGTCATTAAAGTGAAGAAATCCAGTCCTACATCCTCGCTCCCACGCTCAGATTCTTCATGAACATAGAACCAGATGTCTTCACAGAGGTAATGCCAGAAACACAAAGGCAAGTCTCACCTAAAACTGCTAAGTGGTGGTCCCTTTTAGCCACTTTAGCATCTTCTGGGTGACATATTCCTTTTAAATGCTATCTAGAAAGGACAGTCTTAAAGAAATGGTTTAGTTAAAATCTAATTTGCACAGTTTTCCACTTAAGCAAGATGTAACTTATCAGCCAAGACGTCCAAATTGTACTTCTTTAGTTTAGCACTGGAACTATAAAGCTAATGTTGCTAACAAATGCCCAAACCTTTTTGAGAGGGGTTTTAGGCTGTACAGTCGTATGTAAAAGTTTGGGCGCCCCTGTCCAATTACATGTTTTGTTGATTATCTGAGTAAAAATAAGTGAACACATCCTCTACAGAAAACATACTTCTGCACATTTTAATGCACAACTACTGCTTATTTGCTGAATGAAATATATGAGGGGAAAAATAACACAAAATGTTTCATGTTTCAAAATTATGGCACTTTTTATATTTTATGCTTAATTTTTTCCCAAAATGTTAAACAAATGAATAGAAATTGTGCTCTAAAATGTGCATAAAAAACACCATATTTAAGTTTGTTCCCTGTGGAGGATGTGTTCACCTCTTTTCACTTAACAAATCAATAATACATGCCATTTGACCAGTGGGGTTCAAACTATTATGGAAAAGATTTAGGTGACTATTGGCTACTAGTGTTTAGCATCAGCGCTAAAATAAGGAAACTAAATTTGGACACTAATCATGTCCTGGCTGATCAATTACATCTGGAGTAAGTGAAAAATTGTATGAAATTTTGCCAAACTATTCCCTTAAAGGAATATTACAGCTATTTTCAACCTAATCTATCTACCACATTTGCATCATATGCTTGATTACTATGGACAATCATTTCAGTGTGTTTCCCTATACTTTAAACAGAAAAGCAGACAACTCTGTCACTGGGCAGTTGCTAAATTATGCGAATAAACAACTGATGTGACTGTACAACTCAAACTCAAAATTACAACTATTACACTCTAACAAAATAAGACAGACATGGCAGAGGCCCAGACCCTGATTAAGCCTAAACCTAGGCTAAAAAGGATTTCAATTATTCACCTCTGGCACAGTTATTTAGTTCAGGACTAGGCTTAACTTATGTTTGGGGAACCAGCCTAGAATGTTTTTGAGAATGTACCAAAGCTGTTTTATCCAACTTTTGAACATTTTAGAAGTATGATTCTAGTTATTTTCACTTTCCCTAAGATTTCTGGGTGTTCAAGTATGATCAGGCAGAAGCCTGAAAAAACTGTCACTACACTGGCAACACATTACCAAAGATTCTTCCTTCTGGATAACTAGTCCTGTCTCAATTTTACAGATTTACAGGTTATCATTTTAACTGATGCTAATCTTTGAAAATATGTACTTTGCATAAACATTTGCTAGAAGAAATCTGCCCAGCTGCTTTTATTAGTGTTTTTCAGGCAAGTCGTCTGTTCTTTTCTAAGTACAGAGAAGCACATCAGAGTTATTGTACATGGCAGTCAACCGTACGTTACAGATGTAGCAGATGGTGATTGGGTTGAAAAATGCTGAAGGATTCCGTTAAGAGATTTGTAGCACATTTTCATCCTTTCACATCTCTGCCTTCAGCAGGGGGCACTGCCTTTCAGCCTCTGTGTCAGGAGAGGAGGAGGGCTCAGACACTCTTAGTGGAGAGAGGACTGACGTGTCCAGTGATGTTCCTGTCCTGTCCGAGCCTCTTTCCTCTTCAGCCTCGTCCTCTTCTTCCTCCTGTCGCTGCACAGAGGACAGGTACTGCTCGAGCAAGCTGCCGTCCTGACTGTCCCCAGCCCCTCCAGGTGAGCGCGCAGCTCCTGCGGACCGCACTGTTTCAGGGGATCCAGCTGTGGCTGTGCTGCTCAGACTGTCCTCTAGCGCCCCCTGCCGTTCCCCTGGGGAATGGAAGCCTGATTCAGGGATAGATAGCTCACTGCGCATGGCGGGAGCCGTGGCTGTGTCTTTAGGGACAGCAGGAATAGGGCCCACGGCAGAGCTCTGTGAGGAAGACAAACAGCTGAGCTGCTCCTTCACCGAAGACTGCCACTCCAGCATGGCCTGAAGCTGTAAGAAAAGAAATAAAAATTAGAGTCACATGGTGCCCCTGAGTTTTTGCCACCTATCTATGTATTACATTTTTCATAGGGGTGTAATAATGCATTCATGCATTATGTAGGGGGCAATTAAAGGGCTCATAACATGGAAAAAGGTCTTTTTCTTGCTTTTTTGAAAAATTGTAAAATGTTCAAAAGTTTCAAAATGTACAGTTCACTCCTCTGTCCATACAGTCCATGAATAGAAACTAAGCTATAAAAACAGCCCGTTTTGAAATAATGGTTTTTGTGATGCCATGAATATCAATGTATTTAGAGTTATGTGTATTCAGCCTACAACAATTTATTGCAGCCTATAGATGCTGAAAGGAGTGTTTAAGCCCTAAACTGCTTTTAGAATGAGGCACAATACACAGCAGCCAATCAAAACAGAGATCATTCGTACACATTGGTCTTAAAGGCACAGTAACAGAAAACAGCTTGTTTAAGGGATAAAGGTAGACATGAAAATTTGGTCTTACTGAAATATGACACTTCTTGAAAGTAAATGTGCTGTGAACATAAAGCTTGGTGTATTTTTATTAGTGTCTGCATTAAACTACAGTGTAAATTGTTCCTCCAGTCATATTTATGCAGTTTATTTTTAAAAATACTTCTAAATTGTATCAAAACAATCAAATCATGGAGAAATTTGAGTTTCCTAATGAATTATTAAATACTGAGTCATTTTTCAAAATGTTGTACAACATTTAAAGTGACGTGTCTAGGCCTGTCACAGTTATTACATTCTTACCCGATTTCAAATATTTGAGATGATTGCAAAATTTTTCCCAGTTTTTTCCTTTACATCGCAACAAACAGAATAAAATGAGTGAGTGTTCATCCATTTGAGGCAAATGCATTTAAATAAGAGAATGCATATACTGAGAAGTCAAAGGTTTTTACACAGCTTTAAACTTTCATGCAATTTTAGTTACTTGAAACCTACATAAAACTAAATTGCATTTGAGTTGCATAATGTAAAGCATGCTGTAACTCCTTTGAAACTCTAGTTTTTATAAGAGCCACAGTGTAAAGCCAGCCTTACAAAAACAACAAATGTTACTTTAACAAGTTTAGAGGGCAACGTTCAGTAATGTTTGTTTATTTGACCTTGAGCTGTTTCTGACATCACACAGGAGCTACTAAGTATCCACAGCTAGGAAGCAAAATAGCTACCAGTACCAAAACTAATTTGGCTGCTTAAGGCTTGTATATTAATCGATAGCGGACAACAAGCCAGTTACTATATACAATAATTGTATATACTATACACAATTATTTTATAGCCAGTAAATGTCAGCTAAAATATGATAGTGACCATATATGACTGTTAACTTCTAATAGAGCAGAATTAAAAATGAGATCATTAAACCTAAAAATGTATTCTTCTTGAACCATTCTGGTTGATGAATGTACTCCGTTTAGGATCATCATTGAGCAGGTTGTATAACTCTTTGCATTCTTCTGTAATATTCTGACTTGACAGTAATGACAAAACAAGTCAGTCACCGTCTCCTGTGAAGATCGGGCACCATCCTAATCCACATCTATTTTTGATGGTGTGTGAGTCACTTCACAGCCTAGACAGATAAGAATCACTAATTTCTTTCTTCCTGTTTTCTCTGCTCCATTAAAACCTATTTGCTTTGAACATTTAAGAACCAACACTTTCAAGAGAAATTTTAACTGGCCACCACTCCGGCAGATGACGCACTTCATTTGAAGGGCACTTGCGCTTATCAGGTGTGAAAAATGATATGTTTAATTACTATGCACATCAAACGGTGATATAATACATGTTCCTTTTCCTCTCAGACTTACTGTGTTTACCATAGAAGCCTTGAGAAGTAAATGCACTTTTTGATACTATTACTCATGAGATATTAAAGTGTTACTTAGGAACACTGACAAATACATTCCTATGATCACTTCATTGAGCAAGTCTTTATCTTGGCGGTAAACTGTCTTGGTAAATAAAATGATGATTTACTCAGTGCCTTCACACGTCCGCCTACTGACTCACTCATACTGATCCTTCTTGCTGCAGCTGTCTGAATGTTTAGTCATGGCCACTAAGAGGATCATCATCATATATTTGACTGACTGTTGCCAAAGTAAACTTTTTTGTGTGCTTAGGGTTCACTTTCAGTAGACAAACCAAAGAACAAAAGAAGTGTGAAAGTATGCTAATATTGACTTGTTTCCAGAGGAACTTCACAGCTTCTTCCTGAACCATCCTCTGCAACTTCTCCTCCTCTTGTTGCTTCCGCACCCTAAAAACATGTGCAAACACAAGATAGGACAAGAGACAAAGACATGATTAGAAATGTACAGCAGAGCAACAGTTTAATATATCAGTTAAACCCTTTTAAACAGTAGCAGTAAATGCATTTTCAGTGCATTTTGGAGTTTCCTCTACAAAGCTGACAAGGTGTGGCCACAAATTCATATATCGAGGCCACAAATTAATATGTTGAAGCGACGTGGCCACAAGAAATTATTATATTAATATGTCAATATATTAACTTGTGGTTTCTATTTTCTTTAGTTCATTGAATTAACATATTTCTACAGAAATCTGAAAATTTTAAAATTCAATTTGAGTTATATTTTGAATAAAAATATTTTACTGGAGTATATTCATACAAACAGGAGATAAGCCGATTTCCATTACGTGGGTAGAATGGCCACTAGGAGGCCTGCAGAAAGGGGTTAATGTCCATATTTGAAATTTTATATTTCCTTTGGTCCATATGCTCTCTTAGCTTTCTCTTAGGAACACAAATTTGAAGACACGTTTCAATTCAATTATCATATAACTTGAAGGTTTTCAATCACTTAGTCTCGCATACCAAATCTCATCTTCTGGGAACATGGAACTACTACTTTTAGCAAAACAGTGGAAAATCCAAAATATTAAAATAGGTAGAGGTTCATTCAAATATATATCTATAAAATAATTCCCCACTTTAGACCATTAAGAACAAGTTCTGGGACATTTTTCCCTTATCATAATTAATTTAGTCAGCTAGATATGAATGGATAAAGCGCTAATCGACTAAGTCCTACAGAATAAAGTAATAGTGCATTTACCTCATTAAAACATTATAGCCATAACTGTATTTTTGAGAACATCAGCGTAACGCCAAAGACGTGACACTCAATAACAAAAACAACACGGCACATGACTGTGTTTTTTCCTGGTTTTGCTACTGTACTATCGTATGGTCAATTTGAACAGGTTAACTATTACTAAGGGAGCTCGAGGTTCAGAATCATTACTGGATTAAAAACACAGATCACATCATTTATCATTTAATTACAGTACCTCCCCAGATACAATGAATTAATCCACTGTGAATCAGAAAGGTTTTATATATTTTTTACCTCTCCAGTTCTGCTGTCAGGTAGACAATGTGATCCTGCATCCTGCGCAGCCGAATCTCGCAGCGCACCTCTTTGGCCTGTGGGTGCTGCTGTCGAGTCCAGTGTCCCCTCCACCAGGCCTGAATCTTCACAGCTGCTTCATCTGGCTGCCACTGTGCCACCGTGGCACGCTGCTTTATCTGCTCTGTGCCATTCTGTAACATGGCCTCTCCATTCAGGAGACAGCTTTGCTGCTTGCTGTTTTTCAAATGAACCCCTCCATGAGTTTGCTCTTCTGGTGTTGAATAATCTGCTCTGTTTTTTGGTGTTTGGATGACTTTCAATTGAGAGCTCTTTTCTGTCTCTGCTTTCTGAGGCTGGGAGCGAGTTGGGTTTGGAGGAGCCAGCGAATCAGGCTCATCCAGCTCCTCCTCTTCGCTGTCAGGGGGTGATGGAGAGTGGACGGCGGAGCTGACAGGAAGAAAGGCGGACTCTGAGGAGAGGAGGCTGCCATGGAGCTTCTCTTCATCTGTCTGCACGTCCTCTAGAACCAGATTCTCTTCACCATAAGGGGGAGCCTGAACGGCAGTAAATTTTGCTGAGGATGTGCTGCCCATCCAAGTGTTCACCTGAAGAACCGGTTCAGGAAGTTCTGTCATAAATAACAGAAAAAAAGAGTGAGAGACAAAGTAAGGCAAAAATACTTTACAATGTTAGATGAACTATCATAACAGTGAAAAACTTAGAAATTAAACGATGTACACTAAACAAAGGTATGAGGACATCTAAGTATCACACCTACAGAGCTTGTTGGACATTCAATTCCAAAACCATAGGCATTAATATGGAGTTACACCCACCATTGGTTTGTGGGAATGTGCATCCATTCATTAAAAAAGCACTTGTGAGGTTAGGCACTGATGTTGAATGAGAAGGCCTGGCTCGGAGAACAACAGTCAGAGAACAAGTTTCCACTGCTCCAGAATCTAGTGGCACAGCGTTTCACTCCACTTCAGCTGATGTTTTGCACTGTGCATAGTGATCTTGGGTTTGTACACAGCTGCTCGGCCATGGAAACCTTATAAAGCTCCTCATGCAGTTCTTGTGCTGACGTTGCTTCCTGAAACAGTGTGAAACTTTGGAGCTCGGCTGATCCTGGAGAGCTGGTGTCCAGGACAGTTTGGTGATGACACCTTGACTTTATAAACTGGTTAGGAATGGGTGTGAAACACCTGAACGAATGTCCACATACTTTTTACACTTCATCTTCATTAGGAACAGTGTTAACAGAGAGAATCATAACGCAATCATTTGAGAGTTATATGGTGCATCTTTGCCACCATTCTTTCGCAGAGCACAAATAATCTGGTTGTTATATATTAAGCAGGTCAGATCTCAGGTGTGAATGGTCACTGCACTGCAGAATTTAAAGTTTTCTCTGAGTTTAACTCATCAGCTAACCACCAATCCATTTTTGAGTTAAACTGAGTATATTAGAATAGGGTAAACACAAAGTCTCCAAAACTACATTTTATATCAGTGTTTCTAATCCTGCTCCTAGCGACCCACAGTACCACACGGTTTCAAGTATTCCTTGATTTAACACACCTAATCTGCTCATCAACTGGTTATTGAACCATTTATGAGCTGAAACAGTGTCAAGGTCTGGTGAAACTGTGCGGTGCTGTGAGTTGGCAGGAGCAGGACTAATAAACTGTGTTTTTTATTTATCTGAGATGGAATCGGCTGCCAACCTGACTGAATGATGACAGGAAAAGCCTCAAATATGGCCACTCCATCTTTGGCTCGATCAGTCAAGTGCTGTTCCACGTCTAGCTGAGTTGGGCGAGGAGGACTTGGGGAGTCACGGTGACTTGACTGGAGCAGCTGCCTCTGATGCTGCCTGCAGGAACACATGGTTAGAAAAGTTCTGTTATAAAGCTAAACTTAAACAAGCAACTACAACGAGCAGCTCAACCAGAAATGACAATGACTCCTGAGCAATAACTAGCACATAATGCTAATGTGCATAACTTTCATGTTAGCTTTCATTTGTGGTTGACTACAGTAGCATTTTACACTAAAGTGACATTTAAATGTTCTTGAGATGGAGCCTTGAGGCACCTCTGCTTGCTGAGAATCCTCTCCAGCTTGGCATCCTCAGCAGACTGCAGTGCTGATGTGGATGTCAAAGGGCATGTGGAAGCCAGGTACTGGACTAGCTGTATGTGCTGCCCAGGACGATATGTGCGGCCTTTTCCCTGGCTGTATAGCCATTCTGCCTTGAGCCTAGAGTTATGAACGAAGACAGAAATGAGTCAAAGAAGCCAGTACATACCATCTTGAAAGAAACTACAGTAACAAATGCTGAATAATGTTACTCTATGGGTCTCGTTTCAGAGCTTTTAAAATTTTAAATAGTGTAATGTGGAATTGCATAGTTAGTGTATGACTATGATTTGGACGGCCTTTCATAGCACAAAGCACTCCTGCACTCACCCCTCTTTCTGTGACACCATATATCCATCAAGCACCTTCAGATTGAGGCACCAGCTCACAACATATGGACGGTAATCAAAGCCAGGCAAGGAGGGTGTGGCCATCACGCACGGATTGGTCATGATGGACAGCTGCTCAAGGTCATGTAGAGGTGCCAAATAGGACACCTGAGAGAGTAACATTGTCAGTGGACAGAGGCTAGATAATATATGGAGGGAAACACACCTACAGGATAAACATTACTTGGTAAAATAGGGTAAATTGTTGACTACCTCACTGAGGTCTCGGATCTCATTCTCAGCCAAGGAGAGAACGGTGAGGTTTGGGGGGAAATGGGCAGGGACAGTACGCAGCGTTGTTATGATGTTGCCATGGAGAAGGAGTGTCTGGGGGAGTGGAAACATTGCATTATTATGATGTCTTACATCTACCTAGTTTTGATTTTCATTATACTGTATTAATATTCTGATATATAGTTTTGTAATGTGACGAATCCCATTTCAAATGTTTCATAGTAAAAAATCTGCGGCCCACCTTTAAGGCAGTGAGTTTTGAAATGTCCCCTGTGTTCGAAATGTTGTTGTCAGATAGATCCAGATGTTGCAGAGCCACACAGCTGTTCAGCAGCTCTATCACCTTAAAGAATACAGAATCATAGGATCAGAGGCCACAGACTGTCACTAGATTACTTATTCGTCTATTGACTGTTACTATCTATACCTTTATGTTATTGCCTGCCAAGTTCAGCCACTCAAGATGGACCAGATCTTTCAGTCCCTCGATGTAGCCAATGCTGTTGTTAGGCAGGTTCAAAACTCTCAATTCTGTGAGCCTTGACACCCCCATCATGCGAACTAGACGATTACAGGCAACAGACAGCTGTTCATAGGGAGGAAAATGAAAAGAGTTATGACTATGAAGACAACATTTATATTCAGCACCACATACAGCTCAATATTTCATGAAAAAAGTTCTATGTAGGTGCAAAATATACATTACAGGTACCTGCTTAAGTGCTGCATTCTTCTCTAGATGTTCCAGTTTGATTATGTGGTTCTGGTCTAAGATGAGGGTGTGGGTGTCCGGTGAACAGGAGAAGTTTGGGTCCAACTTGTGAAGGCCCTGACTTGAAAGGTCAACTAAACCTGGACCTTGACAACAACATCACCCAATCAGTAGTTAAAAGGCAGAAACTAGTAAATGACACTGCTTGTATTACAACTGCTACACATCCATGCACAGTATTATACAGACAGCATACACGATTTCCCAGGAATTAAGCCTAGTCCAGTACTACATCTTACTTCCAATGGAGAATCTTAATTGTATAAGTTCTGTGTAATCCAGAACTAAGCTTAACCAACCTTTTATGTCCAAAGGTTTGCTGACACCTGCTCCTCTAATGTTCATTTTAAACTCAAGAGTATTAATAGAAAGGGGGTCACCTCTCTACTCTTGTGGGGAGACTTTACACTACATGTTTGAACACTGTCAAAGTTAACTTTACTGTCATTCCTTTTCACTTTACTTAGTTAAGAATACCAATAACAGAAGCAGCTAAACAATGACCTTTCTCCAAATTTATCTAATGTATGTCAAATTTACCCTAATGGATGGCACAACGTCATACTGAGTTTATTTTTAGGGACCTCCCCAGAATTTTGATTTACATACATTTAGGGGGTCCAAGAGGTTAATTAGGGAGTCCTGGAACAGTGTTCTTTGGAGAGAACATCATCCAATTCTTTTGGGAAGATTTGGATGGAGCTCTGTCACTCCAGAGAATGCAGTTCCACTGCTCCACAGCCCAGTGCTGGGGTGGGGGGGGGGTTTATACCCCTCTGGTCAATGCTTGGCATTGAGCACAATGACCTTAGGCCAGTCTACTGAACTGCTCAACATGGGACGATGTATGTCAGTGGTTCGCAAAGTCAGTCTTCGGATGCCCCGTGCTCTACACATTTTTTTTTGTGTTTTCTCTATTCTAACAGACCTGACCATTGTTAATATTTATAATGAGTTAATGCACCAAGTCTGCAGAGTCTGGGGTAGAGCTGAAAGATGAATCCTTTTTTATATCAAAATTGCAATTTAAGAGAGTACAATTTTCAAATCGCAATAGCTGGCACAGTATATTCAGGGTTCAAGCCTCAAGTCAGAAAAAGTGCACAGTCTGGTCCTGAACGTTGATTTACAGAATATAATCACACTTTGAATCGCACTTGAAATATTAGTCAGAAAAATCACAATTTGATATTTTCCACAAGTTGTTTAGTCCTAGTACAGGGTTCATGGGACTGTGACTGGAAAGCCCTGCCTTAGGCTGATGTGTGGCTGCTCCAGAGCGTCCATTTATACGGGCAATGCCTTTCTTTGGAAATTACAGAAGCTGCATGTGCACAGTTGAATAACTGTGTCAATAGGTGTTATCGTAAGCGGTGTCTGCATACTTTTGGACATAGAGCGTATGATAAAGAATATTCCGTAACATGTTTTCATATTGAATCTACTGCTTTCTTTAGCCAAATGTCGACCTGAAAGAAACGGTCTAATGTCTCATCAACTCTCTCCAGCTGCGCTGTTTAACCTGGATAACGTTTAACCGTCAAACACTCTGACAGGGACAGGTGGGCTTCCAAAACATGCTCTACACGATCTACAGTGAAAATGACTAGAGATGTGGTCTAATAAAGGCCTGAGAAGTGAACCACCCGCTCCAGACTCTGTCAGTTCACAGAGGACGAGCAGCGGTGAAGAAATTAAGAAACTGTCATCACACAAACAGAGGCTAAGCTAACGTTAGCTAACGCGCCGTTAAAGGATGTTTAGCACAATTATATGCAGCAGCAGCCAGGTCTGTGTCCCTCTACCACAGAGTTAGAGGGATAATGGTTAAAAAACCCAAACACATTGCTTGAAATATCTCCACAAGCTTCATACCTTCATAAGTTGTCATCTGAGTGATGGGATCAGGGACGATGGCTCTCTCCGCCGCCGCCATGCTTCCCGCTTGAGTCACCGCCAGGCAACCGATCGCGAATCTGATTGGATGAATAAAGTTCACATTAAAAATATTTTTAAGGATTTTTCCTAGACCTTATTTTAAAATGCGATTCCGGCGGTGTGGTTTGTTTGCGGAAATGTGACGTTTTCACCAAACTGCTTTATTGATAAGCCGCCTACCCACAATTCCTTTTCCTCTTCCTCATCTGACTCGCCGCCATGAAGTAAGCGCAGTCCCGTTTTATCCGTAAACATCTGCCTACAAATCTTTAAAATACATCTATAACTGGAACCGTGAGATGTTTTATAAGTGTCTTTCTTCGATATTCATGTACTATTTGTCACTTGCAGGGTCGAGTTGTGCAGTTTTAGCGGGTACAAAATCTATCCCGGCCACGGCCGGCGGTATGCCAGGATCGACGGGAAGGTAACGTCAAAATAACATTATGTCAGAAGTCGTTTCTGAGACACAGAAGTGTGTTTTATTTTAGTGTAGCTTATGGTTTGTATAACACACGAGCCACCAGTTTGTGGCCGAGGTTTATAAACCTTTTCTGGAAGCTTCAACTTAACAGTAAATGGTAGTACAGTTAGCTGAACACCGGCCTGCTCGTCATTAAAGCCTTGATACGATAATGAAGCGCCGAATGGCTTTGAGACTGAAGTGTCGTCTGTTTGTGTTCTGTGCTGATATAACTTCTTTTGCTGAGGCCGCTTCAGTTCGTTTAAGTGTTGTAGTTAGCTATGTTACTGTCAGCGTAGCTAGGTTAGCTTGCTAAGTAGCTAGTAGGCTGGTGTTTCTGTGTGCAGTGAGTTCAAGTGTCCAACACAGCTAAACTGCTTGACTTTAAATGATGTATTTTGTGTCAGTGGTGCTTCATTGTAGTCCTGGGACCCCATGTTTTGGGAGTAAAGAAAACACAACACACCTGACCAAGCACATGAGGCGCTTGTTTGTTAAATAAGACAGTGGTTCTCAAACCAGTCCCCAGAGACCCCCAGATTTTTGCTCCAGCCTGACTTGTGAAACACAGCGATAGAGCAGGAATGGGGACTGGGTTGAGAACCACTGAGATTTGGGGTTGAATATGTTGTGCTAAATGAGGGAAAATGCAAAGGTGCATAGCATGAGGACCCTAGCCCCCAAATTATGTATCTCTTTCTCCTGGTGGTGTTATGCATTTTGCAGTATTAACTCAAGTTTTTCTTTTTCAGGTGTTCCAGTTCCTGAACGCCAAGTGTGAGTCTGCTTTCCTGACCAAAAGGAACCCTAGACAGATCAACTGGACCGTTCTTTACAGGCGCAAGCACAAGAAGGGCTTGTCCGTAAGTTCAGCAATCTTTGATTTGCAGCTGGTTGATTTGTGTGATATTGTGGTGATATAATCTTGTAATATGAGCAGTTCCCGTAATCTGTGTGATCAGTTGCCCCTTCAGGCGTTGCAAAGCGACTGATTTCTGTCGTTTTGTGTCAAAAGGTGGCATAGAATAAAAAGGGCTATGTTTACGCCTAGGACTCATCTATACAGTGGGTTCTTAGTGTCCTTATAGTCCTACAGTTCTTTGGGAATCCCTCCTAAAATCATTGAACTTAATTTCGCAGAGGGATAAAGACTTGATTTGATATGTGTGTTCCACTACACTGGCTTTCTAGAGATTATATGAGGCTGACTTGCGCTTGATCATAGAGTATTTATGACTGATGAATAATTTTGGTAAGCTTAATGCTTGGATTGTGGAAATCTGAAGACTTGAGGTACAATTCTGGGTCCTTCATGCTGTTATAGGGTTTTAGATTCTGGGGTAGCTTGTTTTAAGGGGTGGATAATGCAACTGTTACTGGCACCATAGTAAGCTTTTCGAACATGTCATTAATAGTACTTTTACAGCACTTGACCAACTGTATGGTTCATTAAAAAGAGATTGAGAGCACGTAAAGCTTGAGTTTTTAAAGATGCACTGGGAAAAAATGTTTACATGATTCAACTGTGTGCATTGATTCCACACAATGTTACATCAACAAGTTAATTAAATGTTTACATGCAGCAGTTATGGGGCTGTAAAAATTTCATTAGTTTTGAGCCAGTGTACACATTTGAATCATGTAAACTTAAGCCTTTAAATTTAACTTAAGCTTTTAAACTTGCAATTTTTTCCAGTGTGGTGCTGTTGGTGCATTGTCTCAGACTGCATCAAACTTATCAAACTTCAGATTGTTTTTTTCTGTTCTTTGGTTATACCTGAAGTCAGTATTGGTCTTTTATTCTTGGTGGCTCATTGTTTTGTATTCTGCTCTAACAGGAAGAGGTGACAAAGAAACGCACCCGCCGTGCTGTCAAGTTCCAGAGGGCCATCACTGGTGCCTCTCTGGCTGAGATCCTGGCCAAGAGGAACCAGAAGCCAGAGGTGCGCAAGGCTCAGCGGGAGCAGGCCATCAGGTCAGTGTTTAAACGTGTGAAATTGTACATGCGTTCGAGATTTTTATTTATTTATTTATTTATTTTTTAAACTTTTACTTTTGTCAGTTCTCATCACTTCATGCTGTGATGTTGGGTGCTTTTAGTCTGTCAGCAAGCCTAAAAATCTAATCTTGGTACCCCTGTCCCCTTTATCCCGAATGCTGGCGATTGACCAAGAAACGTTTGGTGTCTGGAGTGTGCCTTAGTCTAAAATTAACTTTTCTACTCTGCTGCTTCTAGATACAGTAGTACTGACTGAGTGTCTCATGTCTGTGTACATTTGAGAGAATTGTTGAAAAAGCATGTACTCCCATTATATAGATATTGCTAGTAATAAATCAGGAAATATGCCAAGAGGCATGAATTATTTCTATCTCTATGAAGCTATTTGGTCACAATCTGCGTTCAGCCACCTCAGGATCTGAACACATCCCAATCCGAAGTTTTGTGTCCATGGACAAGTCCAGAGACCCTGTTTTAATGCCATAATGTGTAAACAGGACCCATTAACTGTAATCAGAAATGTAGACCAGATTGTCATGTTTATTCTCATGGAGATTTTAAACCAAGACCTTTTAACAATTTTAGTGGGTGGGTAATCTGTTTCAACTTTTGCAAGCAAGTTTGCTTCTTGGTCATTCTGTGTGTGTGTGTGTCTTTTAACATTATCACTTCTACTCTTTAGGGCTGCCAAGGAGGCTAAGAAGGCAAAGCAGGCAGCCAAGAAAGTGCCTGCCCCAGCTACCAAGGTAAGAATCTATTGTGTGGATCTTTTAAGTTGGCTTTGGCAAGTCTTGCAGAAGGAATCTTAATTTTTTATTTTTCATCTGATGGTTTAGTGTTGAGGTATCAAATATGGGTTCTGGAGGGCCACAGTTCTGCAGAGATGAATTTTGTCCCTCTTCTAACACTGAATTCAACTTAGAACAGCCTTCCTGATTAGCTCATGAATTAAATCAGGTGTTTAATGAGGTAGAAAGCAATTTCAACTCTGCAGTACTTTGGCCACAGCTGGAGTGTGTTGTGTGGTTTAGGGAACAGTTATTTTTCCTGCTATTATGCAGCTTTGGAAGCATTAAAGAGCCTTAATGAGGCACTGACCAGTCATTTTGATTGCCCCTTGAGGCGTTGCAGTACGACTTCTGTCGTTACTGTGTCATAAGGTGGCATAGAATAAAACGGCTATGTTTACGCCTAGTACCCACCAATACAATGGGTTCTTAGTGTGTCTATATAGTCCTACAGTATTTAATTCTGTTTTACTTTGTGAAATTACCAAAAATAATCATTAAGCTTAATGTCACAGGGACTAAATTTGTATTTCAATACACGATTCAGTCTAGTGTATAGAGAGCCATGCTTCTAAGTCACATTTCTTGAACCAGTGTGATTTTTGGTAGTGTTCATACAATAATAGGATTTTTTTTTGTGTATGTTAACCCCTGAGGTGATTCTGTATATATAATGTGTGTAACTTCTTTTTTTTTTACAGGCCCATGCCAAGGCTGCACCCAAACAGAAGATCGCTAAGCCTATGAAGGTTAGCGCTCCTCGTGTTGGTGGCAAGCGCTAAATTTGTCTGGTGTTTTTGTGTACTAATAAAATTATCACCGTACCATTATTTGTCTTTTTTTTCCTTTTTCCTCACTGATTCCAGAGTGTAGACGAAGCTTGCGGTTTAATGCAGCACTTCCTAAATCCCAGCCCAAAGTTTCTGCACCACAATTGTTTTCAACTCCAGTCAGGGGGACAAACCAGATTGCGACTATTCCCTGCACCATCAAACCTGATCCAGCCTCGTTATAACCCTCTTTGTGAGCTGAATCAGCTGTGTTGGGTTCAGAATATACCTGATGCTGTGCAGGACAGTGAGTCCCCAGGACTGAAGTTAAAACCTCTGTTACAAACAAACAGGATGTTGCAACAAAGAGACTAATGGAAATGTGCTTTTAATAAGGGTCAACAAAAATAAATTCAGATCAGATATTTGGGGCGAAAATTGACATTGTGCACTTGTTACATTGCCATGTATACCAGTAATATACCCTAAACAAGTGTTCATGTGAAATGGTTTAGGATTTAACATGAACAACTATGGATCTACATGGTTTCACCTGTGAAAGAGGAGGACGGGCTGAACTGAGAGAGACCTATAATTTACCACTCTACAATGTAAATGGTTTAATACCTTAATATAGGAGAAGCTGTTTGAGCATCTTGGAGATTTCTGCTGTGTTGTTTACTCAGTTTTATTTAGATGGTTGTTCTTGATCGGGGTCAGGAAGAAAGGGCTGAGGTGGCTTCAGGTTTTTAGTCCTGATTCCACTAAATAAGTTGGTGACAGTCTTAAAACAATGTATTTTTATATGAGGTGCACCTGTTTAGGTGTAATGAATAACTGCTGCTACTCCAGGCCCTTTGTGGATAAGATTGGTGGCCCCTGTTCTAGACTGGATTTCTGCAAACTGCTTTGGAACTGAGTTTAGACAAAATCAGTTGGAACTGTTTTCACCTGTGATTTCCACACAAAATTGACACTCCATTTTATAGTTTAATGAAGACTTTTTTTTTTGAAATGCTTACAGAAATGTCCAGTGCTATGTAGGCTAATTCCTGGTCCTGGAATATCACTGCCCGAAATGTTGTGTTGACCCTGCCCTGACAAACCCAGTTTACCTCAGGAGCAGGGGAAGCTCTAAAATGTGCTGGGCGGTGATACTCCAGGACCAGGATTGAGAACCAGAAACGTATGCACACATACAAAAGGACCACATTACTTTTTAAAATAAAAATCTGGAATTGTGATTACTACATCTGAATAATCCCAAGAATTCTGTTTTGTCAGTGTCTAAGACATCTTAAAGCCAAGGACTTTAAACAAAGTTACTGAGCTTCTCTTGAGCAATGGTGAGACGGTCCATCCGGTTCTGCATGTTAACGCGGCGTCTGCTGACCTCTGACTCTTCCCGGAGAACCTCAGCTACGTTAGCACCGTCCATTAACCCTAACATCTCACTGCAGAGCAGCTGAGCAGACTCCTTCAACATGAAGTATCGGATCAGCATGGGCACCTGGTCAGCCAACCGTTGCACAACGATCTGTCAGGATAACATAGTTGTTAATTACTTCTTAACTAAAGGGTAGAAAAAAAATAATGTTTTTATCTAGACTGAATAGTTTACCAACTAGTTACATCCTCAGTTACATGTATTTCGTCGTATTTCTCTTGAGTATTTTCAAGTTATAAAGCATTCACTTCTACTCAAGTACACAATATGGCCAAAAGTATTGGCACACACCTCTTAATCATTGAGTTCAGGTGTTTCATTCAGTCTCATTACCACAGTTGTATACAATCAAGCACCTAGCCATGCAGTCTGCCTTTACAAATTTATGTGAAAGAATGGTTTGTTCTAAAGAGCTCACTGAATTCGAGTGTGGTTCTGTAATAGGATGCCACCCTTGTAACAAGACAGTTCATGAAATTTCTTCCTTCCTAGACATTTCACGATTTACTGTGAGTGGTGATGTTGAAAAGTGGAAGCGTTTAAGAACCACAGCAACTCAGCCATGAAGTCGCAGACCACATAAAGTTAACCTCCCCTGGCATTAACATCAAAACAAAAATTGTGCGCCGGGAACCTTGTGCCATGGGTTTCTACGGCTGAGCAGCTGCATTCAAGCCTTACGTCACCAATCACAATGCCAAGCGAATGCCAGGAGAACATTACCTGCCTGACTGCATTGTGCCAACTGTAAAGTTTGGTGGAGGAGGGATAATGCTATCGATAATAATGATAATAATGCCTATGGATTTAGAAAGGATGTCATAAAAGCTCCTCTAGGTGTAATGTGTAGGTGTCCCAATATTTTTGTCCTCATAGTGTATATTTGAGAAGATTAAATCTACTTTTTGCTGAGTTCCATAGTTTAGTCATCAACATGACTAAATTACATAATTATATGTTTACTAACCTAATATTCTTTTTGGTTTTAATAGAATTATGTTCTTCATTTAAACATACCTCATAATAAGCATGCAGCATTTCAGGATATTTGTTCCTGCTGTCAAGCCCAGCAAAGTTATCCTCTGACACTCCAGCATTATTGATCTCATTCAAGGTTTTGAAGTAGATGCTATCTTGAGTGTAGACCAGCTGCTCCATCTCAAACTGCTCCATGATCCTCTGCTCCACTTTGGCTTCTTGCTTTGACTGAATGTTGTCTATCTTGTTCTGGGGTAGCAGTTAAACATTAAAGTGTAAAAGTGTTTTAAAATTTCAGAATGACCATACTGAAATATTTGTCTTTTAATGCTAAAAGTAGTGTTTACCGTGGCAACACACTGGAGGAAAGGATAGTTGAGGAAGCACTCTTTAGACACTTCTGAGAACTGCGTCTGGATGGTCTCTGAAATGCATAAATCACAATCAAACAATGCTAATTTGCTAGCTTAATTGGCTAAGACATGTTCAGTGACTACTTATTTAGTTTTAGACAGAAAATGGACAAAAAAACTGGTTCCACAATGGCAAAGGAGTCAGACAAGGCTGCACACTGTCACCATACATGTTCAATCTATGCAGAACATATGAGAGAGAGAAGCAGGACAGGAGAAAGATGATCGAAGTTTCAGGACTGGTGGAAGAAACAAAAGTAACCTTCGATATGTAGATGATACACACTCATAATGGAAAATCTGTAATCTGAAGGCACTTATGGGGTTTGTGGGGGTTCTGGCCATTGAAGAACAGGGTAAAAGGGGGCTAACAAAGTACACAGAGAAACAGATGGACTACAGTCTGTAATTGTAGAGCTACAAAGTGCACTTATATGGTAAGTGGAGCTGACAAAATGGACAAAGTAGATGTACTTAAATAAGTGGCTGGTCAGTGTATAATCTATGCTTCTATTTCATAAAGCAGTGCAAAACTCTTTGTAGTGTTAAATTCTTGTTGAAAAAGTCTTGTTGAAATTATTTTTCTTCCAGGTTATAGATTCATTTTTAACAGGTCTGCAATCTGCAACAGATTTTTTTAAGTTAATGCAGTTACTGATAAGTCTTATGTTTTTTTGAGCAGTTGCTCAACACAGCTCACTAATGAGACATTATTTACTCGAATATGGGACACCGCAAAATCATATTTATTTCTTTCAGAGCTAGAATCTTTATAAAAAAGCCAGACATGGCATCATACTGGGGTTGTTTTTTTCGGCCAAATGAATTGGCTAATAATTTTAGTGGTCCTTGCTCAGAGGACATTGTTTCCTTCTTGGGAAGTCAACATGTGGAAATCTCATTTTAAGATTATTCTTCCACTGTTATCTTTAAAACTGGAATCGTGTTTGTTATGGCACACACGTGTTAAGGATTCATTAACTCCACTTCAGCTGTTCTTAATAAATCTTCTCTGGTATGCATTAGATAATACTTTTCAGAATTAAGCTATGAGACCATGTTCAATGCATACAATAAACAAACTGGCTCAATTGTAAAACTTTGCAGTTACTTTGCAGAAGTCATTACCCACCATGTGAGTTACATTCTGCTCACATACTCTCTCAGCTTGCCCAAAACCTGATGCTTCGGCCAACTATTATCACCCTACGAAGATTTTACATATGTTCCTGACTTCTCCTCAACAGTTCAAAAGCAGGGAAAAGGTGGATGAAGGAAAAATAAAACCACTTTTCCATCCAAAAAAAAAATAAAAAATGCGTTATTTACAACATAAAGATTCTAAAAACAAGAGGCCTACATAGTGATGGGCAATCAAGCTGCAGCCCACTCATAGCCTTCTTCAGGACACAGCCTGTGGCTCGAAAACGTCCCCCTTTTTTCATAATAGGAGCACTTAGCAATTCAAAAACACCTGAGCAAGAAACATGTGACTTCCAAGTGGAAGTAAAGATGTTCGCCACCAGATGACAGAAAACACATTAAAGGCAAAATATACAAATGAGGCCACAACATCAGCTTAGGGACTTAATACAACTCCAATAGTTTCAAAGAAGGTCTAAAAACAATGTCATCAACATCCTGGAAAAAATGTAAGCTTCATTACATAAAAAGTAAATACTTACTTTTTTTTTTTTACTTTTTCACCTTTTGCACGGAATAGTTTTTTTTCTTTCTTGCCTAGTTTTTTAATCCAACATATTATTCCCCACCACTGAACCCCTTCATTAATTTTTGGTGGATCTTCTGAACCCACCAGACAATTTGTTTGGTTGCTTGAAAGTGTTTTAATCTTTTTGGTCTGGTTTGGGTCTAGCAAGATTATCGAGTGCTGAATGGAAGTTGATCTAGAACAGGGTTCCAGGGTCTTCCACCCTGGAGAGTTTAGGTCCAACACACTCAGCTGTGATGTTCATCAAGTCCCTGAAGGCCTTTATCATCTGGATCAGGTGTGTTAGATTAGGGTTGGAGCTAAACTGTGCGTGGTGGTGGATCATGAGGACCAGTACCCATGACCTAGACCACGTGTGTCAGGCTCCAGTCCTCGTGGCCCAAAACACTGCAGACTTCAGCAAACTGATTTAGCTCATCAGCTAATTAGCAGGACTTTCATGAAACGCTAATCTCCACAGCACTTTGGCACAGAAGGTCCCCAGTTTGACATGCCTGATCTAGACCCACTATTCTACACTAAGTGATGTCAGAGGTTCATCAGAAAAATCTGATGCATTTAATTTAATTTCATTTAATAAAAGTTCTTCTACATGGTCGGCATTTCTGATAAAAATGACAGATGAGTATAAGTATAAGATTAGCAAATGTAGGTACATGATAAGCAACAGAAACTGTGAAAGATATAGTGTGTAAGTGTAAACGTACCTCTTATAACTCTGAGTCTGTCAATGGCTGGTCCCTTCAGTTCAATCACTAGTCTCTGCACCACCATCTCAAACACATTATAATCACTGAAGCCAGGCAGCTCCCTTCCTCTGTACTTCAGGTCATATTCTTTCACCACAGCCTGGACCACCTCATGAACTGTGTTGGATTTAAATTTTAAGATAAAATCTTGGCTGAATAAATCTTCACATAGAACATGACTTTTAATATAAAGATATATTCTCCACATGTTTAGCTTGATATTTCATAAGCCTTGTTTTCTGTGATTTTTTTTTTATTTCAACTCAGTCTCACCTTACAGATACTCTTTAGTTGTAGTTTCTAAAAGTCCACTTTAGATGTTTAGATATAAACTGGACTGTGAGAAGTCTATTTCTATTTTATATTGTATTCCATGCACTTCTCTGCATGTGGAGCATTTACTTACATGATGACTTTGTACTGTCAAGATGCTCTTTCCACTTTTTGAACTCCGACCGGAGCTGAACAAACAAGTTGTCTTCATTGGCCACATTACTACATGCCATGCGGTTGATCTTGTCATTAAACCTCATCAAAGTCTACAAGAACAAGAGACCACAAACACAGAATTTAAGCATGTAAGCATGTGCATCTAACATGTGTTCTACATCTCCACTAATTGGTAATTTTATCACTGTATCACCTACTACATACAGAATTTGTGCAATTTGTCAGCCACCATACACCCTATGAATAGAAAGAGACCACCCACCATAGGCCGGATATTTTTGGGTATATGTGCTGTAATGCATCAGGAACAGTAGTGATACTAGCAGCAAGTAGTAACAGTGGCACTGGGGTGATAAAAGGTTAGATGCACTCATTGTACTCGGCAAAAGATAAGCTACAGTCTCTAACTGCAAACCTACAGGCTAGCATCTGCTAATGTGACCAGTAAGTGTGCCAAGTGTTTAAAAAACCCAGCAACACTACAGGCCTGATAGGCTTGTACCACCCACACTGCCATGCTATGTTGATGTCATTCCTGTGCTGAGAATGCTCTAGCTCCTAAATAATATGTGGTCAGTAGTGGTCCCATGGTCTTCCCTTTCCAGTGATAGGTGGGATAGAGAGCAGCTGCTAATTGTGCAGCAACAGATGGGCTACAGTCAGTATTTGTAAACCTACATAGTGCACTTATACGGTAGCTGTTTCTGGTGAAATGGCCAATAATTGTTGGTCCAAGGTCCAACTCCATTTGGGTTGCAGGTATTTGAATTTTAGAGTAAGAAGTGGTCACTCACATTAATGAAGAAGTCCCTTCTCTTCTGCGGATCCAGTGGTGGGCCAGCCTCACACTGACCCAACTCTTTTCTCAAGTCCCACAGCTGCTTCTTTATCTGCTCTGAAAGCAGAGGCAGCGATTTCTAAACAAAAGAAAGGAAAAGAAACAGTAAAATGAGATTAGCTACATTTAGACAGGTTGCAGTGATGTGATCACAAGCCACCACAGAAATGTTATGACTCTACGCTGAGCTGATAGTGAGCAATGCAAGGTGAAGGGGGAGAAGTGTACAACTGCTGCAATAAAAATAGCAGTCAAACAAAACAAAAACATAAACGTTGACTTGCTTTTTTCACTTACACAGACAAAAATCTAGTTCACTTCCAGCATTGTAAATCATACAAATTTCCATTGATGTACATTTCAGTAACTGTTAGTGCTTTGCATAGGACCTCCAGAATAGGCAGAAATAGCATTTTATGGCTACTGTGAAAAGGGGCTAAGCAGTAAACACAGTGCAGGGAAAATTCACATAAAACTCATAATCTAATAACAGGAAAAAATCTACTGGTAAAGTTCAAAATCCAGCATCTGTCACGGTTAGCGGGGTATATTATGGATAACTTCCACATCTGTGAAAACACCATTTACACTGAACATATTTTGGAGCAGCATATTTTGCCTTCTAGACGCCGTCTTTTTTCAGCGATGTCCATGCTTAGTTCAACATGATAACACCATGAAACATTCTGTTACAGCAGCGTGGCTGTGCAGTTAGAGAGTGCAGGTGCTAGACTGACCTGCCTGCAGTCCAGAACTGTCTCTGACTGAAAACATGCATTTATGTAATGTTCTGGTGTGGTGGTTACTTTCGAAATAAGCAGTATTAATATGCTTCCAGAACATCTGTGGCAGTGATGGTCTTGGTAGATATTTTTCCTGTTTGCTTTTGTTCAATTCTGAGGTTGAAACACTTATCAAATGATTTATTGTTATTGGTTGAACAGGGGACATTTATTGATTGGTGTCAAAAAAATAATTTTAAATTAGTAAAATATTTTAAAACTGCACCTTGGTTTGTTTGTTAATAAGATTTTCATGTTAAACATGAAACTTGTACATTTAAACAGTCATTTTCATTGGGCCAATGAAAAAGTGGGTGGGCCTAGGCCTGTTGGGCCCAAACATACCACTGCCACTGCCCTGTTTTAATCAAACTACTAGTCTTACTTGTTTACTGTACTTCCTTGTTGGCCAATCTCTTCTTTTCTATGATGCCCATAAATTACAGACCATGCCTGTATCTAAACATGGTCTAGTAACTCTTGAAAAGCATGCTTTAGTGCTTAAGGAAAAAGATCCAGAGTAAAGAAAATGTATTTATACTTTGATGTGGTCAACCAGGTCTTGCGTCAGTTTGGTGGCAAGGCACTGAATTGTTGCTTTCTCCTCATTCAAAAGGCAACTGTCAATGAAAAAAGGGGTCTGAGAGTCAGTTTACTAAGAGTGAGTCAAAAGTCACAAATAACTTACAAATTACAAATTTCAAACTTCTTCATGTTAAGCTGACCTGAAGTATTCGTGACGTTTGAAGAAGTCTCTCTCCACTTGAGTCGCCTGCTCCAGAGAGATTTTCTCGTCAATCTGCTTCTGACCACGGCACTTAACGATGATGTATCCTTTGCTTAAAGGAATAACCTGATTTCTGACAACATCTAATATGTTCTTCTCTGTTCCTCTGTCAACAAGGTCTGGTTTAGTAAGAATAGCTGAAATGAAAAAAAACAAACAAACAAACATATATTTATTCACATACTTTATTCATTGTTCTGCGTTTTCTTCTTCTTATTATTCTATGGTCAAATATTTGCAACGCTATTCCTTGTATGTGCTTTTTTTTAAAACAATTCAACTTATAGTGTTCGTACAGTGTTTCTTCAAAGATTATTTTTTCCCTTAGGAAATAAATGGTGGAATGTTCAGAAAGTTCAAATCTGACTACCAAAAATAATATCACATTACATACATACATAGCAAGAACGTAGCAACCACCTGGAATAACATAGCAATGGCCTAGAGTCACTTTAGCAACCAACTAGGATAGCACAGCAACAGCCTAGCAACACCTTAGCAACCACCTGGAATTCCTATATGAATCTAACTAAGTTATCAAAAACAATCAGTGAGTCTTCTGCAAGTGCTTTGACTTTGGAAGAGTTATTAGCTGGCTTTGTTGAGTCAACGTGAAGTTTGTTCACAAACAATTATTATTATTCTTGTTATTATTATTATTATTATTAGTAGTAGTAGTATTAGTAGTGGTAGTAGTATTAAAATTATTAGAGTAATTATCCCAAATCTGAGCCCTCTGTCCCTGCAACAGATTTTGATATTATTATTTTTTTAAATCAATCATACCGTGTCAACCATGTGTCAAGATGTCACACATTTTAAAGTTTTATTTGATAAATGCATGTAAAACATCACATGATGAGTAATCACCAACATACGTCAGAAATGTGAACCGTGTTACTTAGTACAAGATAGAAAACTGTCTTTTAAGCAATTTTCTAATTAAAATTTATGAATTGATACTGCAGATGTCAAATTGAAAGATGAGTCATATTTCAGGAGATAAAGATAGATATATCATTACAGATATCATTAAATCACAAAACATTTTCTAAATATTGCATTGTATTGTTATGAAAAAAGGAGATCAGTTATATATTGTAAAGCAGTGAAGATATTTAAATAATAATTCATTTGAAAGGAAACGTTTAACAGTTTAATAATTAACAATTGTGATAGCTGTTTTATTATTATGTAAATAATAATAATAGTCATAATTATTGGTGTAAAACTGTTCGTGAAACTGCACAGAATTAAATACTGATTTAATTTATTATGTTATTGATTATGCTCATATATCCAGAGTGTAACTGCTGCACCATTTGAGGTGGAACGGGAAAATCTGACCAAGAAGCTGACTTTAGTGTTTGACAGTTTCTCAATGCAGATCAAACATACCAGGAAACCAGCTAAGTGCTTATAGGTAAATGTTTACTTTTACAGTGGCACTACAGACCCTGACGACCTGCCACGACCCCCCTGCCAGGATGTGCTTGTGTTGACCTTTTTGCCGCTTTAACTAGTTTGTTAGCGGTCTGTTTCAACATCTCCTGCTAATATGGCTTATCCAGCATTTTGGTTATAGTTATTTTCACATGTCCATCGATTTATCACTCTGTTCACTTATCTGACGTTATTGTTCTCTGATAGCTGTAAAGAGCTCTTCCACAAATCATTTCTATCTTTTATTTAGTCCTTTATTGTTGTGTGTTTGGTTCTCCGACAGTTCTGGACACATCCTTGGCAACTATGACGAAGATAAAGTGACACACCTCTCTGAGGTGAGCTGAAGTGATAGGAGCGCCTGTGTTTCTGAGGTTAGTCACTGCCCAAAAGGCAATAGCAGAACTTGTTTTACCCAGAGGTTACGCACTTCCGTTTCTTATATATTCCGTTTATTTATATTGAATATAAATTTTAAGATGAATGAACTAAAAGAAATGACCTAAACTGACTTGGAAAAAAGTCTGGTTCCATTGACTTACATTGAAAGTACAGTGGGTTTTTTCTTTTTCCTGTATATCATTTAGGAGATTCTTTCAACAACAGCTATATAAATAAAGTTCTGAACAAATATAAATATAACAAAAAAATGTTAAGTTGTAATTTAACATTTTATTACCCAGAGTTCTTTTCCCTTCAGGGTCCACCTCCTGTGCCATCTTCAGTGCCTCTGTTGTTGCAATGTCAACGTTGCACGGGACCACGACCAAATTGATGGTTTCACTTTTTTCAATAAAGGTCCGTATGAGATTTCTGATCTATGTGACAAAAAGAAAAGTAACATTAAGAATAAATAAAAAGCTCTTAATTTACTTTAAAATGTCTTAAAAGTTGTAGTTTATACTAACCTGATCTCCGATATCATCAGGCTGACCTTTTACAGGAACCCTTGCAATCCCAGGCAGATCGATCAGTGTGAGGTCACAAACATCAGGAGACATGATCTCCAGAGTGATGAGATCATCACATATTCCAACTCCATCTCCAGCCAACACATTCTGGGCTATTAGACATATGTAACAGTTGAATTAAGGGTATACGCCTTTTTGCTGATGGACATTTAGCTAAGGTGGCTAGAAGCAGATGGTAAGATTTCTCTTCGAAAGCAAAAAAGAGCAAAAGTCATATTGCACTGCACTGACCTTTCGCTACATAACCTTCAACCAGTGATGGGTCATCAAACTCAGTGTACTCCTCTTGGTAAGATATGACTGCTCTCCACTGAACCCCACCCTTGATCTTCCTCAGCTTGAGCTCCAGAGGACATCTGGTAACAATACCTACAGTGGACAGAGAATTATTATATATCCATAAACCCATACGCATTTACTGATGTATCTGTCTTGTGATGAAACTTTCTAAACAACATTCCCGCAATTGGACTATGCAGTGTTTTAAGCGTACACACATTTACATTTATTTAACTACACACCTACATAAACATAATGTAAAGGCAAGTGAAAAACGTAGTTACAAAAGTGATGTGAAGAAAAATAAAGTTAAATGAGTTTTCAAAAGGAGTTTCTTTAAATGTATAAGGTTTTCATTTTTTCTTCATGCAAGTAATTGTCTAATTATGAACTAAAACAAAACAAAATTCAAAATACACCTTACAATGCAATGCTTCAGAAGGTAAAGCTGACCATCCCCTGTGCCTTTATTACAGTTTTTTTAAATGTAAAGGTATAAAAGACAAAAACTACCCACCACTCCCTCTGGGTAACGCCACCCCAGACAGTGCCTCCAGCACAGAGCTTTTCCCGGAGCTCTGATCTCCAATCACTGCTATAGTTGGTAGAGCTAAATCTTCTTCAATACCGATCAGCCTCAGAGAGTCAATCAGGTCGATATAAGGACGAACTCTCTCCTCTAAATGGCTATGAAACACCCCTTCCATTGCTTGTTTACTGTTAATGAGGGATTAACATTAATTTGCATTTTTAACATATTTGTGGGATTCATAAGAGAATTTAATAATCACTTCAGCTGGTAAATTATACACACCTAGTTTCACTAGAAGAAGAGACATCTTCGAAACTACTTCCGTCACTTTCCATCATTTAGGAGACAAATCCTGGGGAAAATTGTAGAGGGGGATCCCATTTTAAACGCTTCAATACTTTAATACAGACTTTTATGTTACTACTCTCAGATCATGGAAGTCTAAGCAAGTTATTTTACTCACCTCTCTGTCTTGAACAACCTGATTTCCAGAAGGTTGTAAATAAACTGAAAGTGGCCTTTATGCCCATATATATATACATACATAGGCACTCAGTCCCACAAGAACACTAAAGTTGAAAGTGGAAGCTGAAAACACATACACTGCATGGGTTTTTCCCAAAATATGCAGTGTTTGGATTTTCCAGGATGTCATTGATCCTTTTTTTGCATTTCATGTAAACACAGTCTAGTACATTTAAGGCCCTAGGGAAGCTTCAGCTGATCTCCTGCCTTAAGCTGGTTTGACAGTATTCATTTCAGCAACTATAGGGCTGTCATGTTATTTGATAGCAATTCAGAAGAATTAGATAAAAAAAAAACTCCAGAGCCACTCCTTTCCATCTAAACCAGGCTGTCCTGTACAACTTAAGGTATGTCCAAGGGCTTCCCCTATATCAGCTCCTTGTATTGCAAAATGCTGAACTTTCACATCTCCAAGAGCCAGGAGGACCCTGCCTGTAACTGCCGAGATTACTACATCATTCACCACGTTAAAGAAGGTTACCTCCAGCTTTTGTGATGGCTGTATGAATGAGCTCATCAGGAGACTCACTGGAAGAGTGACTCTTATGGCACTTTTCCACAAGGTTACAATCTGAACCTAGAACTATCCATGCCCTGGTTGAGTAACTGTGCCTGTTACCCATCAAAAAGAATGCGACTCTATGCTCTTAGCAAAATGTGTTCTATATAGAACCAAAAAAGGGTTCTTTGGCTTTTAACAATAGTGGAATAGTGGTACCATATATAATCTTTTCAAAAAGGTTCAAAAAGGTTCTATAAAGAACCATATATAGCACATTCTCCATCAGTCTGAAGAACAATGTAAAGAGCCCTTTAATCATGGAAATGGTTCTTCGAGTGTTCACTGTTCTATACAGAACCATTTTCTTTATTATAGAACCCTTGATGAACCATCATTTTTAAGAGTGTAGTTAACAGTTAACCTTTTAAAATCCCAAGTTTATCACATACTAAGGCTTATTATTCAGTAACTACAGGGACTTCAATGCAAACTGGCTGAGCTATTCTTAGGTTATAGAAGTTTGTAATAAAATGTTGGGCCTGGCAGTGGGCCTGGCGGTGGGCCTGGCGGTGGGTCTGGCCATTTAAGGGACTAACACAAACAACAGTAGCAACAATGAAGGGGCTCTAAGTTCTGTTTTACCTTTTACTTGCCATTCGGTTTTGACAGCCACAGTGACATGTTGCATTCATTTCTTCACAAATGTTTTTGACTGTGGCTTTGTAAGATTGGAACCTTTTTCAGCCTTTTTTAGCTGACTGACATGTATGCATTGTTTAAGACTGTATGACTTTGCTTACGTGCTATATTTCTCTCAAGATAGCATACCAGACCACCATGCTGAGTGAGAAGTGAAAGGGTTCCACCTCCTTTGACAGAAACTGGGTCTATGTTTGGGCTTTGTTGGGGACAACATCACAGTGAAAAATGTCATTACAATAAATTAAATTAGAAACAATCGTGAAATTAGCTATATTGCAATCATACATCTAAAGCCACTTAAAACATAACATGCAAAATATGTAACCTAAAAGCTAAAATGTTAAACATGAAACTGCAAATTTCATCCCTTAGCTTCTCTTCATTTTTTCCCCAAAATTGCACTCCTGATGGCTTTTGCCTCTTCATTTTGAAGGAGCTTTTGCTCGTGAACAGTATTTGTATGATGAAAGGTCACCAGCCATCCTGTCAATCTTGTTTGTACAAAGTTGGACACTAGCCTACATATTTGTGCAATGGAACAAATAATGTTAATTCTATTCTATCCATACAGGCTGATATTGTAACAAGATAAAGTATAATTGAAAATATGACCTTTCATTGTGCAAGCTAGAACTCCGCTAACTGATGCTTGGCATTGGGCATGGTGACCTTGGACTCACTAAATTCATGAATCACCGAACAGAAACTTGTCCAATCAGATCTGTCCCTGTGATATATAGATAGATACAGCCAAGCGAGTTTTCCCATTGGTTAGGCCTTCACAAGCTGGAAAGAAGGCCTAACATGTCAGATTAACTAACGGCATATGTAGGAACTGACAGTGGAATTAGCCAGTCACGCTTTGATTTGTAATGGGTGGGACCAATTTCATGAGAAAAACTGTCACGCTAGGCCTTGTGTCAACACTGCAGACTTCTGCACACTGCTTGATTAAACACACCTGATAGCTCATCAGCTAATTAGCAAGGCCTTCAAGAACTGGATTCAGAGCATTAGATGAGGGTAAATGCTAATATCCACAGCAGTCTGGCCTGGAAAGTCCCCAGTTTGACATGCCTGATCCAGTCCTTCCGGAAGTCCTAGATTTGTCACTGATTGCAAATATCAGTAGTCACACCAGACTGACCAATGCATTTCAGCCAGTCGTTATAAATGGACAACAGCAGCAGCTCTATGCCAGGGCTCTTTACTGAAAGAATCAGAAACTTCTACAGGGTAAATATGTTTTAATGTCTGTTATAAACTTTTAATAAAGCAAAAAAATGTGTGTTTAATCTAGAACAAAAAATGTTCATTTGAATCTCTATTAGCTTAGCGCTGTCATACTACTGGAATTCCACAGGGGTGGTAACAGAAATTAGCATTATCGAAAAGTTTTTTTTTCATTGAGCTTTGACATTTATGACTGAAACTGAAGGCCTACCAGTAATACTCACAGTTTTCCACTGTTAATATGGATATACTAGTGCTTCCTTTCTACCTGTACTCTGATTCCTACTGTTGTCAAAGACTTAAATCTGACTTGCATGACAACCTGTCATAGCAAAACCTCATAACTTTTTTTAACACTTTTTCAAAAAAAATGCCACCTGCCCTTTAATAATTGAGTAGATCAGCTGACGGGGTCCAAAATGACTTTGATTCTGCATGTGTCAAATTTCAAACATAATTGTGACGCAAATTGAGGAGGCACGAGATCTGAGCTTAGAAACTGAAACAAACTGTTTATTCTTTCAGTACCCTGTTAATGAAGCTTTAACCACAGTGAATGACATGGCAGACAGTTTTGATCTCATAAGGGAAACCTGCTCTGAAAATAGGAACTCTGCAATGCAGTTCTTTCCACGTGGAAGTACCAGAAGGAAGTGGCCACTTACAGGAGCATTCCAACAGGGTTTGTTTCCAGTAAACCCCTAAACTCTTAAGAAAGGATACACTTTCTAGAGCATTAATAGGTTATTTTGGAAATCTAGTGTTTTTCCTATTTATAGTCTCACCAGTAGTTTTTATTGTGCAACTTAGTCAAATATATTCTGTTTAAATAGCATTAAACCATAAAGGAGTCATAGCACATCTAAAATTTTTTCAAGTTAATCTGACATGATTGTCCTTACAATAAGTTCCTTTTGAGAAAATATAGGATCAAAAAGGCCTATGTTGATTAGATCCTTGGTTTATATTTAGAAGGCATTTTGAACTCTGGTCGAATTTATCCTCTAAATAAATTAACCTGTGGAATAAATGCAACTTGTTGATTAAAAATGAAATCTTATTGTTAGTGATGTATTTATACCCAGTTAATACTTCAGCTCAGTTCAGTCATTCTGTAAGTAATTAAACACAAGAAAGCAATATTTAGCATTATCAACATCTACAACTGAAAAAAAGTAATCAGAGCACAACTTTTGCATGGTTTCATTTGCATGAGTCCATTTGAAGTTTTTGTTTTTCATAGAAATCCATGATATGACCAGAAAGGCCCCAGCTGGGTTGGCATGGAATGTAGTTATATAAGTGAAGAACTGAAGTGTGGGCTCACATACGGAACCTTAGGGTTTGAGGACTTAAACTGAAAGTGAAAATGACTATGACTCAAATGAAGCGAAGGAGCACACACCAACAGACAAGCCTAAACTTCTTTATCTGTTTTACGTGCAAAAGACCAGAACATAACACAAAGACTTATAAAAGATAATTCAGAGGTAAAACAAAGACTATGCCTCGTAACTTTCTACACGTTTGTCTTTCTGTTTTCTGTTTAAGTACTGTTAAAGAAGTTTACGCTTGTCTGTGGGTGTGTGCTTCTGCCTGCTCCTCAGTCTTACCTTATTAGGATATGTTGTGATAAGATAATACAAAGTAGCCATGTTATTGTCATAACACATTCAGACTACACTAGTTTAACCTACTGCTTTTATGATTTTTGTTTGCCACTTTTTGTTTACTATAAAAGGAAATGCAAGTTGTGTAATCAGGAGGATGAGCAATTGAAATGTGTCCCCCTAGGACAGGCATATGGGGTTAAACTCTCTCTCCCAAATCTAGTCTGAAGACTGTTTCTATTCACTTATTTCATTTAGTACTTTGCATATATGAGCTCCATGCTACACAGTTATCACCAAGATATCAGAAGCAGATTTTAAAAAAAGTGAGCCCTACCAAAAAGGCCTGATATAATTCGATGTTAAAGTGCACCATCTCTATGTTTCCAGTTTTATGGTCCCTGTCTCACGGTTACATCCTGTCTCATTTTGCTTATTTTAAAGAGTTTCAGCCTAATTGATTGGTGAAAACAACATATGACAACATATACTGTGCACATTCTAATGTGTTGTACGTGATGTTTCATCTTCAATAACTATTTGCCTATATATTGCTGCTGTCGGAAGAAAACCTTGTATCTCCATTTTTGTCATTTTCAGTTTTTGACATAATTTCAAAATGCATATGACCCTTTACATTTTGTATATATCTATATCTATATATCTATATCTATCTATCTATCTATCTATCTATATATATATATATATATATATAAGTAAATATATGTAATAGGTAGGTAATTTGAGTTCACCATGTAAATTATGACAAGTGAGTAATGAATTTATGACACCAAATTCCACAAAATGTGAAAAGCAATGCCTGTGACCCCCACTATGAGAAATAATATACCTGTGTTTAGTGAAAGACTCGGGTCTTCTCTGCTCATTCGCTCTAGTTTATTTGGCTAATCAGTTCTTTTTCTGGACATTCTAAAGACACTGCAGATATCAGAATGATTGTGTTTGTTAATATGTGTCTAGTTGGTATGC